TATTATGTTAGTTTCTGTAAAGAGATTGTTCCCTAGTGTGTGTCACATTGGAGACAAGTTGAATTTTCTACTCCCCAGAACATCTTTTAATATTTATAGTCTGCCTTCTGTGTCCATCTTCATTGCATGCATACATGTATATATACTAGAGTAGATGTGGGTATCATTTTATTCTATGATGAATAAATTTCCTAACTGAGTTAATTCATTTTAAGTGACCACTCAGGGTAACAAATATCCTTCTTTATCCTTAGCAGCTGGACTCATTAGACCATACTATCTGGAAGCTGAGAGCAGGGCAAAGAAGATCTGCAGTATATACTGTGCTTCCATAAATAGCTGTTTGTATGGTTTGTAATTTTCAGCTAACGTGAAAGTCAGTAAGTAACACAAGCAGTAGGGACTGGCTTTACCTGCAGCTAGACCTGTCATGTTCCTCAGAAAAGACACTGAGTATGCAACTAGAAATCTGGTGAATGAGCCCTCAATCCAAGGAGGGAAATCTTTAAAATTATAATATAGGAAAGTTCTGTGATTTCAAACAGAAAACATCACTTGGATGGTTTCTCAAAACACCTGATTAGAAACTGTTAAAATCTAGAAAACAAGTAAAAACTCTGCTTTTCTCGAAGTGAGATCTCAGATGTCATTTTTTTTAAATGATGTAAATTTGTTGGTAAAGTAATAGAATACTGAATTTGGTTAGTTACTGCCAGGGAAATTTTCAAACGAAATGAGTGCATACCGGTTAAAACAAGGGTATGTTGCTGCACCAACTCACTGGCTGAACTGTCTCTAAAGAATTAATTCACTGAAGCAGTCTGGAACCACAACTGCCAAGCCAAGCAGAAACTCACCTGCACTGGAGTCCAGAATTTTGTGTGGCAATAAGCATTTTTAATTAGAAGTTTCCCAATTCCTAAATTTGGAACTGAATCTGTAAACATGTGGCAGATTGAGCTAGCATATCCAGGCATCATTGGAGCTGTGGGGGAAGTGTGGCTTTTTAAAAAATTGAATGGGTAAGCTGAGAAAATCCAGCTGTGTTTTATTTAAAATTGTACTAATCAAAGTTCCATTTTTTTGGCCTTCGTCAGTGTATCTGCTGTTCTGGGGGTTGGCTCCCCATCTCCCAGCTCATTTTAAGACTGATTTCATCTTTTAGGTAGGGATGAGGGTTGAAGCAATGTAATACCCATTTGCTGCAGTAAGAGACAGTTTCTCTTTCCTTGGTAGTTTATCTCTACTAGGTCAAAAGCAGAACATAATCTTCATCAGCAATTAGATTTTTTTTTTTTGTCTTTTTTTTGGTGCTGGGATCGAACCCGGGGCCTCACGCATGCTAGGCAAGCGCTGTACCACTGAGCTACATCCCAGCCCAGCAATTAGATTTTTAACCCTTACATTCATGGCACTAGAGGTTCACAGAAGTCAAGATTGTCCACTGACCTTAAAACCAAAATGTAAAGAGTATGGCATTCCTTAATTAGAAGTAAAATTTGCCCCCAGGAAGCAGTTTCCCAATTAAATCAAGAAATGGTCATATTGAAGCCCTTAATTATTCTTAGATGGCATAATAATTTAGGCTGATGGGCCAGGGGAAAAGGGAGCAGTCAGGAAGAGACCCTGTCCAAAAGTCAAAGGACTCACAATATCCACTTTCAAGGCCAGCTAAGTTTCTTGATGAAGGCTGTATTGTGAGACTGGCCTGGGAAAAGTTGTTTTAAAATCATTATTCTCAAAATAAATCCACATTCTACTTTCCATTAGAGGAGTAAACCGTGGTGCCAGAAGTCTGCTAAAACTCTGTACTTAGTATATCTAAGAAAAATCAATTCATATGGAGGTAAACATGATTTAGAGAGTACTTGGGGTTACTAAGCTATTACGTCAAAATAGTTGCATGGATAGTGCCTCCTACCCCAACTTCTGCCATAAACTGTTTGACCTTCCTGCTGACTGTAATCTTGCTTCTCTGGGAACTCTTCTCAGTACAGGAGGGGCTTGCTTATTCAGTGTTAACGTTGTACGCATTAGTGACTTTGGCCTTCAATTCATGTGTATATATGTACACATGTGCTGAACAATGGGAGATTCTGAGCTATGAATTAATAATCAAAATTTCAGTAACTAGGAAGAGTTTACAGTTATAATTCCAGATGACTTCATTGTAATAATCTGTTTATAGCTAACACTGGAAGTTAGACTGCATTGAAAATGCAATGAAAAAAAATTTTATATAACTTTCTCTAAAGGAAGAAAATATTTGTAAACCAGGTAAATTCATATAAAAAAATAGCTAGAAACTTTAAAATAGGGTAGGCACTGCAAAGGAAACAGAACAGATATGAAAGATTGTATGTGCAAGGCGAGGTGTAGGAAATACTTTCTATTGGAAATGTAAGTAGGAATCATATATGAAGCAAGCTAAAACTTCTTAGTTTTGTCCCTAATAGAGATCCTCCTCTACCCCCAAAATTTCCTCTGTTTTTTTTCTTCAGCCCTTGACTAAGAACTTGTTAATGGAAATGGATCCTCACCATTCTTCCTTTTTTTGTTTTAAAATAGTCACTTCTGCCTGGTTTGCAGAGTGTGCTCTCTGAGTTCTTTAAGCTGCAGCTTCTCTCTGCTGCCTTCCAACAGTAATCTCCTTACAGATGTAGCTCCATGGCAACAGGCCCAGCCTAGAGCCCTGCTACCTTGTTTGTGTTACCTGAGGGGCTAGATGCAGCCTGAAGGTAAAGAAGGAATATTACCTGTTCTAAAGGGTTTGGATGAAGATGACTTCTTGTTCTGTTGTTTGTGTTTCTGTTCTGCTTTTATGGAAGACATGAATAATACCTGGAAAGCATTTATCCAAAGATGATATCAGTAACCGAAAGGCAGCAGGGAAACCCTCTTCCGTTGGTTCCTGTCTTCTGAACAGAGAGTTGTTTTCTGAAATGTAGTGCAGAAAGTGACTTGCTGTTTCCAGGACATGTGGCACCGCTATGATTTGGGGTTGCACTGCCAGGTGGCTATACAGTTGCTTCATGTAGGTAGACATTTATTTTGTTTATAATAAAATTATAATTTTAAATTTTCTTCCTTGAAAATTTAAAAAATAAAAGTAAGCCTTTTGTCATAACTCCTTATATTTTAAACATGCCTTACTTTTCCTGGTAAGTGGCTCATCCCAGACCATGAGAGGCTTTTCCCTCTCTAGCTCCTGCTGAGAAAGATGGGCCAAAATTATTGTTTTTTATTTGTTTAAGAAAGATTAGAGTGTTCCATTGTCTCAACCAGGCTTCCAATATAGGATACTGGGAAAGGTTGTATGATAATTAGATTATAGTAAAATTTTGTAACATTTAAGCTATTTATAATTAATGTGCTATATTTGCAGCCTAAACTGCAAGTATGTCATTGCCTTATGTAGAACAAAAGGAAATAAATGTAGAGCTGTTACATTGCTACATTTTTATATATATTAGGTGGTATTTGTCTCTTGTACATATTTGCATTATCAATGGGAAATATAAAGGTTGGCTTTTTTTACTTTAAAAATTGTTGAATATCAGAACACACATTTTTTTAAGCCCAAACCTTAAATGGTGGTTGGTGTATGTATGTGTGTGTGCATGGGTGGGGGGAGGAGGAAGAGTATAAAGAAATGACTAAAATTTCTATTGCTTAAGATGTTTCTTATATTATGCAGTTTGATTAAACAGCATTAGAATGGAGGCAAAAGAGAACCTCGTTTCCAGGATCTTATTACTGTGTAATTTAACTAAATACCACTCTGGCATTAAGTACTTCCCTTTTAATGTTACCCTGGTTTCAAAGAAATGAATGAAGCTGCTTACTTAATGTATTTTATAAAAACAGATGTCTATACACAGGCATTTCTTTTTATCCCTGTTACCAGGTACTTCTGCTTAAAATACACGTATTTAACTCTGAGTGTTTCAGTCAATATATACTATAATTACTGAGTAAAACTGTGTCCACCCAGTTCTGGGTTCAGGAATATTGTGCTTCATACTGTTTGACTCTGTTAATTCTTTGAAGAGGAAGGCAGTGAATAACTGGCTCCTGTAGTGACATGAATCATGATTCCCAGCATTCTTTTTAAAAACAACTAGGAAACAAAATCAGCCAGGATGCCTGGACAGTGGCAGCAGATGTGCTCTTCTTCTCTATGAGAGTTGGGCATTTGTTATGGTAGGAAGTTTCTTCAAGGCATTTTATTCTTTATTCATGTTTATCTATTCATATTTATAGATAGACGTAAAAGTTTACCAGAAAAGAATTCCATGTTGAGCTGGAAATCAGACCTTTTGAGAGACAGTCTTGTGCTAAGAAGTTTAACTGTGTGTGTGTGTGTGTGTGTGTGTGTGTGTGTGTGTGTGTGTGTGTGTGTGTGTGTGTGTGTGTGTGTGTGTTCTGCCAGAGAAGAAAGAAACTTAAAGATTCAGCCACTAATATTTTATCAGCAGTGTAAGAGTATAAAGCTAAAGCATGAAGAAAAATAAGAAATAATGTCTTTTAACAATACCTTTGCATAAAAAGAAATAAGGTAATTCTGGATAGTATCATTTCTCCATCTTCCAATATAGGGATGAGGATAAAAATTATGTCTATAGAGGCCAGGCATGGTGGTACACGCCTGTAACCCCAGCACTTCTGAAGCAGAGGCAGGAAGATGAAGAGCTCAAGTCCAGTCAGGGCTACACAACAAGACCTTGAACAGAGCTTTGAACTCTTTTAAGACTAGTAAAATTATTATATATTTTATGCTTTGGCTATAAAAAGTGTGTTTATATTCATGTATGTGTCTGTATATACATACTCTATGTGCCACATGAATATGATTACTGTTATTACAGAGATTATTATTTTGCTCCTCCTTTTATTTTGTCCCTTAAGCATTTGTGCATTTGTTGTTAGCCTCTATTGCTTTGGACCTTCATGTCCTGGTTAGCCAAGGTAGCACCACTTTAAATGTCTTCTACTTTTAGGTCTCGTGGGCTGCCTAAACTGAAAGAGTCACGTTCACATGAGTCCTTGCTGAGCCCCTGCAGTGCAGTGGAATGTCTGGATCTGGGTAGAGGGGAGCCAGTATCAGTGAAACCGCTCCACAGTAGCATCCTTGGACAAGACTTCTGCTTTGAGGTAAAATAAAAATTATAAAAGGAAGTAGAGCAGTTAATCAACAAGACTTTTAACCAGTAATTTGGTGATTTCATTACTTTTGTGCTGTTGATTTATCTTAACTAATTTTCAGCTGCTAAAAATTATCTGTTTATAAGCAAAAAGTTAGAAATCTGTTAATTTAATATATTTATAATTAAAGTTATTAATGATTTATCTCATTCTTTTGGCCTTGTCTGCATTTTTAAAATTGGATTCTTAGTATATTCTCAGCAGAGGTTAATATTAGCTTATTAAATTGATGTTAATTTTTAGTATTGATAAGAATATCACCCACCATTATTTTTCTAACAGTGGGTACCAAAATCTTAAATTCCCAATTTCAATATTATTTTGAAGAACTCTATCCAAATCATAATTCTTCTGATTTACAACATGAACAGTCCTTGGTTTAGTACATGTTTTTTTTAATTTTTGTAATTCCCTGTATGGTCCTAGATCAAGAACCACACATCTCAGTTTGGACTAGCCACATTTCAGGTACTCATTAGCCACATGAAGCTGGCACCTACCATTTTAGACAGAACATATAAACTGACCTGATTCCTTGAATTGTGACCTGGGATTGAGATAATATGTAAACACACTTTGGCAATTGGGTAGGTCATTGTTTGAGTTCTTTTTAATAAGAATCACTTAAACTTTTTCTTATTTGTGGAACTCACTGGGCTGTGTACTAAGCCCAGTGTTTAGGTGCTAGGCATATAAACAACAACATGTTCCATTTTAAAAGTACAGTGTAATAGTAGTCAGGCTAACCCAGTAAATGACTGGAAATCAGCAGGTAGGTTGCCTACTGGAGGAGAAATGGATTCCAAAAATAGTAATTCAATACTGTTAACTCTTTCTAATTTCATTTAATAGCTTTCTGTAGAGAAGACAATCTTGAGGAATATGATAAATTGATATGATAAAGGGAAGAAACTTTCCTTTTAGTTATTTTCATTTGTTCAGAATTAAGCATATTTTTTTGCAGGTAATTTAGCATGTGACTTGAAAGGTTTTTAATTTTGGTTTTTCTGAACCATAGGCCAGCCGAATTCTAAATGGCCTTTGTTCTCAGATTTGAGAATCAGTGTGAATGCTACCTAGAGAATAAATCAAAAAGCAAATATAGATTTAGATATTGCTATCACAAACCTAAAAAATCGTCTTGGTTTTATATGATTTTTGTTCATAGCTTATTTGTAACTCTTAAACAATAGAACTAGGAACATGGAGCCTCAATCTTATGTTTCTTTTTCTTTATCTCTAATCATTAACGTTGAAGGTCACCTACTTAAGTGGAAGTAAATGCTTCAGCTGTAATTCTGCTTCAGAGAGAGATAAGTGGATGGAAAACCTGCGCAGGACAGTTCAACCAAACAAGGTAATGATGGCCTTGAGAGTCTGAAAAAAAAGGTATCACTTTGTAAGCAGCAGTTTGATAGAAAGTAAATGTAATGTTAATATCTTAATTTTTATAGAGCTTAACAGATTTTTTGTTGTTGATGACATTTGTTTTTAAACAGGGTCTTGCTCTGTAGCTGTAGCCCAAGCTAGCCTCAAACTTGTGACCCTCCCGTCTTAGCCTCCTAAAATGCTGGGAGTACAGGCATGAACACCAAGACTGGTTTAGAACTTAACAGTTTTAAAGTCTATATACAGGTTTTGACATTTTATGCTAAAAAATCTTCTCTCAAGATATTATAATTTTACCATGTGGATAAGGAGACTCAGAAAAGTTAAGTGACATACCCAAGTCAAAAGTTAGTACATGATAAAAATGGAACTAGAGTCAAGTGCCAGTGGCTCATGCCTGTAATCCTAAATAGTTAGGAGGCTGAGATCAGGAGGATCATGGTTCAAGGCCAGCCCAGGCAAAAAGTTCATGAAACCCCATCTAAACACTTAATGGGTACAGTGTTGTGCACATGTCACCCCAGCTGCGTGGGAGGCTGAGATCAGGAGGACTGTGGTTCCAGACCAGCTCAGGCAAAAAAGTTGGGAGACTCCATCTCAAAGGAAAAAACTGGGCATAGTGATACAAATCTGTCATCCCAGATAGGCAGGTAGCCTAAAATTTTGCCAGCCTGGGCAAAAAACAAGACTTTATCTCCAAAATAACCAGAGAGAACAGGGGGCTAGAGAGCAGTAGAGTGCCTGCCTCACAAATGTGAAGCTCTTGAGTTCAAATCCCAGTACCACCCAAAAAGGGGGGGGGAGGGACTAGAACATTAATAAAGCAGAATAGAATGTATGAGGTTCTCTAAGATTCTTGTTTAGAGCGAGATGCTGGTAGCTTACACATGTAATCCTAACTACTCAGGAGGCAGAGATCAGGAGGATCATGTTTCGAAGCCAGCCTTGGGCAAATAGTTCATGAGACCCTATCTCCAAAAAACCCATTGCAAGAAAAGGGCTGGCAGAGCTCAAGTGATTAAAAAAAAAACACCTGCCACGTGAACCCCAGTGCCACCCCCCAAAAAAGAGATTCTTGTTTTAAGCTTGCTGTTACCCTAAACAATTCTCCATTATTTGTTGACACCCCTTAATAGAATACATAATCAGCATTATTTTAAGAGGAAATGCTCTCTTTCTTGGATGTCAGCTTCAAATTCAATTTTGTTTCCTCTTTGTAGGACAATTGCAGAAGAGCTGAAAATGTTCTCCGTTTATGGATTATTGAAGCCAAGGACCTTGCCCCTAAAAAGAAATATTTCTGTGAGCTGTGCCTTGATGATACCCTTTTTGCTCGTACAACCAGCAAGACCAAAGCAGACAATATTTTTTGGGGTGAACATTTTGAATTTTATAGCCTTCCCCCTCTTCATAGCATCACAGTTCACATTTATAAGGACGTGGAAAAAAAGAAAAAAAAGGACAAGAATAATTATGTAGGTCTAGTCAACATTCCCACTGCCAGTGTGACTGGTCGCCAGTTTGTAGAAAAGTGGTATCCTGTGAGTACACCTACACCCAATAAAGGAAAAACAGGAGGACCTTCTATTCGAATTAAGTCTCGTTTCCAAACTATCACCATTCTGCCTATGGAGCAATACAAAGAATTTGCAGAATTTGTCACCAGCAACTATACCATGCTGTGTTCTGTCCTTGAGCCAGTAATTAGTGTGAGGAATAAAGAGGAGTTGGCCTGTGCCTTAGTGCACATTCTTCAGAGCACTGGCAGAGCCAAGGTAAGTGGAAGGGGAGATTGCGTTACCTGAAAATTCTTCCTTTACAAAGAAATGAAGCTGTGGATACTGTGGAAATCCACACTAGAAAAATGTGCTTTGCTATTGGTCACAAAAAGAAAAAGATGTTAGAAAAGAAAGACTATTAGCAGTTCTTAGATCCAGAAGAGATGGGAATTATAAAACTAAAGAAGCAAAATGGAGGAACCAACAAATATTTCATTTTCATGAAACATAGATACCATAGTCAGCTCTTTATTGTCTGATAAAAATAAATGGTAGAATTGGTATGATAACTCCACATGTGGTCATATTTTTTATCTTTAGTTCTAGTTGTATGATGGTTTTCTTCTTAACTGGTGACTGTATCCCATAAGCTCAGAAGGAAGTATTGAAGAAACATGCTGATTACTAGCAAGAATTTTCAAGGGATTAAAATCTGTACAACTACAAGGGATGTTATATAGGTGGTAGCTGATTCATGATAGCCTGATCTCATTTCATTCTGCATGAAAGTGAAATCTAGGAAAAAAATAAAAAGTAAAATATGCTGATTATAGGAAGAACAACAACCAATTAATGGAACCTTCAACCTATGAGATGTAGTCAGTTAGCTAGACTGTCTCCAATACATTGTAAACAAACTGGTCATAGTAGAATTTTATTTCAGATCCAGAGACATTCACAGCTATAATAATTTATATAGAAATAGTAAAATAAAATGCTTTTCATTTTTTGATGTATATCAGAATATATCAATATATTAGCTATATAGTTGCTTGACTAGCTACCTTCCTATTATTATAATTTTAGCACTTCAGTTTACTGAAATAATCTTGAGCTTTCTGTTGTTAAAAAAAAAGCTTAGGAGTTGGGATAAAGTGTCATTGAAGTTTTGAGTCTCATCTTTAAAATTTTATAGATATGTTATTTGTGCTTTTCAGTGCTGATGGTTCAGTATGAACAAAAGATTTTTTAAAGCAACTTACTAATGTATAGTTTACATACAATAAACTACACCCATTTAATGTGGAGAAATTCAGTGAGTTTTGATAGATTGTGCACACATTGAAACCACTATCTAATCAAGACATAGAATTTTACCATCACCCCCAAAAGTTTCTTTCTGACCCTTACTATAAGTTTTAATAGTGATTCCTAAGTCCACAACTCTGTTATACTGTTGAGCTGCTCCAGAGTAAGTCCCATTAATATTTAAAATGTTTAATTTTGAAGTAAAAGTAATTTAGCATATTCCTTCTTTTTGGTTTGGGAGCCCTTGAAATATCCAATAAATACATGATGTTATCACATTTAACACTAAAGAATGATAAACATTGAATTTTACCTCAATTTTTAAGACTGTTAAGGAATAAGAAAGCTATCTCTTCGGGTTTTATTTTTCCCCATTCCGTCCTTCTCCATAGATGGATGGATGGATGAAATGGACACACAGGGATAGTTAGCATAGAAAATGAGTAGTTTAATAATGAGTTCCAGAAATTTCATTTTGATACTGAAGACCAATATGTAACTCTTATATATTGAACATCTAATATATGCCATAAAATGAAGTGCTGGAGATACCGTGGTATCCTTGGGATCACTGGGCATTCAGTGGTCTGAGGAAGGCATTCATCAACTACAGAAATAAATAGGTGACTACAGTGAAAAGTGCAGAGGATTAAAAGGATCGATAATGCCATAGGAATGTGGAGCAAGGGAACCTGAAAAGTGAGGTTCAGAGGTAGTGGCGGGGGAAGGCCTTACTGAGGAACTGATTTGTGAACTAAGATCCAAAGGATCCCAGGAATTAGCTCCATGACACTGGGGATGGGAATGAAAGTGGGAGTGGAACAGAAATGAGAGCAGCATTTGCAGAAAACTGTGGTTAAGAAGAGAAGATCGGCTATATTAAAGGACCTAGAAAGAAGGCCCACAGGGTTGGAGCAGAATGCAGAGAGAGTGGTACCAGATGAGGTTGGAGAACTAGACAGAAACCAAAAAATATAGAAACTTGTAGACTGAATTCAGAATTATGGAAGTGCAATGGAAAATCTGTGAAGGAATTTAAACTTTGAGGTAGTGATATGTAAGATTTTTATCCTGACTGCCTTTTTTTTTTTCTAGTGAATCTGGTGGCTTACATTTTAAAGCAGTGTCTGATATTTCAATAGCCTCTTCTAAGTGTTTTGTTTATTCAGTTGCTTTTTGCCTGACTGGACATTATTCTACAGGATTTTCTGACTGACTTGGTGATGTCTGAGGTGGATCGTTGTGGAGAGCATGATGTCTTAATCTTCAGAGAGAACACGATTGCCACCAAATCCATTGAAGAGTATCTCAAGTTGGTGGGACAACAGTATCTTCATGATGCACTGGGTATGGAAGAAGATAATATCTATTTTCTTTTCTTTCCCTTTCAGTTTTAACTTATTTCACCCTCAGAAGACAAACTGAGCTCAAAAGTTCAGTTGATTAGAGTGGTATGAGTATTAGCGTTGAAGTCTCTATACTACTCAACAGTGTTTATTACATTGTGTGGAACACACACCATAGTTTATCACAAGGTATGTGGACATAGAAAGCCCATTAGCATAGACAGTCAACCCAGGTCCCCAAGTTCCTGATTTTGACACATACAATAATATTATTAGGTTTCTCCTCTAGATCTGAGGTAGCCTGTTTTTCCTGAAGTGCTGGGCATTTATAGCATGATACAAATGTGTTACCTAAGTCTTGAAAGGGTTAACTTAGCATTTTTTATCATATATTACAAAACTAATCAAAGATGAGTTCATACAACTCCACATTTCTGCCTTTCAAGGTCTCTAAGGTTTTTCACAAAAGTAATTTGTGTCCAGTCATTAGTTTTTGCCAACTAAGCCACTAACTTACAGTTCCAGATTTGGTCCTGAAATTTAGTCATTGACTACTAAAGGAAAGCACTGTGCTAGGCACTTTGATGTATATGACAACAGAGCAGGTTTAAGTTCCTTGAAGAAAATAGCCATTTCTTTTATCTCCATATTCCCAGTATTTCACATAAAATGTAATGAAGCCATGTCCTATAGAAATATGAGTCATGTGTATGACATTTTATGTATTTAATGACTGTGTCATTTTAAGTTTTCTGATAGTCACAGTATAAAAAGTATAAAGAAAAACATGAAATTAATAGCACATTTTATTTAACCCAATGTATTCGAATAAAAGCAACTACTCAATATAGAAATTATTAATGAAACATTTTACTTTTTTTCATACTCTAAAATTTAATGTATATTTTATCACATTTTAATCTTCACTGGCCACATTAATAGTATTTAACAGTCACATGTAACTGTCAAGAGTAGTCAGTAAAGGTATGTTGAATGACATACCAAATTTTTGTTCTCAAGGAGTTTATAATATAGGGAAATAAGATAGGGTTATCCCTACAGCCAAAAAGAGAGAAATCATGTTTCTCAAAGAATTTATTAAAAAATCATTCCAACTTGATAGAATTGTAAAGTTTCCTATGTGTGTGGCTTGAGGGGCAGAAAATGGACATTGGACAAGGGCACTTATGGGGTTACCATGGGAGAAAAAAAGTGACCAAAGGCGTAGAGATGGAAAAGAACCAGGCATGTATAGGATATAACTTTTTAGTGGAAAAAGAAAAGGCCAGCTGAACAACAACAGCAAAAAGATATTTAGAACCAGCTTTTTGAGAGCATGGCTGAGAATTTAGATTTTATAATAATCACTGGAAAACCACTGAAAGTTTTGAGTAGGGTGTTTTCAGTGGAATTAAGTGACTGATTAAGATGAGTTGCTGAAGAAAGCAACTGAAAACAGATTAGTTAAGAAGCTTTTAAATAACAAAGGCAAGAAATATTAAAATCAAGTGAGGCAGTTTAAGGAGTGAGAATAGAGGTGGGGAGGGGGAAAGGATGTGAGAAATGTTAAAGTTGAACTGATAGGGCCTGTCAACTTTTTCAGTTTGTGGGAAAGAAGGAAGGATGGAATATTACAGAGAATTTGGGCCTTTGTGAATGAGTAGGAAGATGACAAAATTCTTAACAGAAACAGAAATCATAAAAGTATAGGTTTGAAATATCAAGGTGTGGGGCTTAGCCACTATGCACATTGCAATTATTCATCTCAGCTGTCCAATTCTGTGATGCATTCTGGCATTTTGTAACATATTCATTTGATGTGTTAGCATTGGTTAATAAATGTATTTTTAAAAAACAATAAGGTATAGGCTTGAAAGAAGAAAAATTGTATTTTCACCTCATATGTATTCAATATGAAGTACTGATAGGAAATCTTTGGGGATTTAGGTAGAAAAGCTAGCCAGGACAGCTGTCTAGCTGACTGTTACAAATTTGGGAATAACCCATGGCGGGGGGAAGGGGGAGTCAGGGAATAAAGCTATGACGATTACCAGAGCAAGAAGAGAATAAAGCCAAAGACATATCTCACAGTGCACCTGGGTTCATGGTGTAGAGGAAAGAAGAGAAATCAAAGAAATGATCAAAGAGAGAATACAAAAAGATAGAAAATCCTGAGTTCTAAATACAACAGAGAAGCGATTATCAAGAGTCACAGGAGCAGAGGATAGAGCTTAGTGGTAGACTGCTGTTTAACATGCACAGGGATTCAATCCCCAGGGCCACCAAAAAGAGACGATATAGGAGATTGATAGATAGATAGATACATATACATATGTACAGACATAGAGACACAGGTAGGTAGGTAGGTAGGTAGGTAGATAGATAGATAGATAGATAGATAGATAGAAACAAAGATTTCAGAAGGTGAAAAATGGTTGGTTGTCAAATCAGTTAGCAACTTAAAGATCACTTGTCATGCTTCAGATTGTTATCAAGAGGACAGGAGTGATATTATAAGGGGTAAAAAGTGAATGACTGGTCAAGAAATAGGACCAGTATGTTTACGTGATATAGGCACTATAGTAGCAAGTAGTTTCTACTTTGTAGAAGTATTTTTTTCTTTTTCAACTTATCTTCAAGTCTAGTCAAGTACTTTAAGATCTAATGGGAATTTATTAGAAAAATAAATAGATTTTCATGAGCATCAGAAAAAGTGCCAAGGGGTTATTAGTCTCATTTACATAAAGAGCTTACATAGACATAAATTACATGTAATGATCTGCTTTGATGATTTGTATTGTCTTATAAAAAAATAAATGAAGCATCCCAAACAGGGTTCTCCATCCTGTGGACATAAGGGTGAATATATACTGACTACCTTCTTCTTCAAAATCAGTGTTTATATTATAAAAATCAATGAGCTAAGTAAAGTTTCTGAATTAAATAATTTCCAAAAGAAAAATGGATACCAAGTCCTTTGATACAACCATGAATAATTAAATAGCTGATTGGTTCAAAGAGGCATGAAAATTAATTCAGTGAGCAAGTGAAGAAATTCAAATAACCCCTCAAAGATCTCTGTTAACATGTCTGTTAATCTAAGAGCCAGGGCCAGGATGGTGAAAATGGCTGCTGCTTTCAAGAGCATAAACAGAATTAACCAGAAACTGGATTGTCTTCTTCCCATTGAAGTTTTGCTATGTTTCATACACTGGGCAAAAACTAGATGCTATTTCCCTATGGGAAGTGGAGTAGAGAGTAGTGAAGAGGACTGGTAGAGATAAACCATTTAGGCTTATAATACATATATGTATGGAAACAACACAAGAAAAATTCTGTGTGTAGCTATCTCTATCTCCAACCAGCAAAACTCTGTTTCTCTTTTTATCTTTTATGTTTTTTCTTCTACAAAATTAGAGGAGGGCAGGACAGGTTCTGTCTCGGGAGCGGGGGGTGGCACTCCTGGGGGGGGTGATGGGGAAAGGGGTAGGAGGATGAATATGATTCACATAATTTATACACATGTATATAAATGCAAAAATGACACATGTTGAAACTGTTCCAGGAATCTGGGGAGGGGGGATGAAAGTGAGCAGTGGAGGGGGTAAATTCAAGTATAATATATTTGATACATTGTAAGAACTTTTGTAAATGCTACAATGGTACCCCCACCCAGCATAACAATAAAAAAAATAATAAAATTTTTTTAAAAAGAACTCTGAGAGAATTGATTTTAAAAATTGCCAGTCAGGGCTGGGGATGTAGCTTAGTGGTAGAGCGCTTGCCTAACAAGCCCTGGGTTCAATCCATAGTACCACTACAAAAGAGAAAAAAACGAAAATATTGCCAGTCATATTGTACAATATCAACTTGCTTCTTTGCCATTGATAAAAGCATTATTCTACTGCACAGACTCTGTCTCATTTAGAATTAATTCTTCCATCTACTAGCCCCCTCGTACCCATCTCATTGAAGTCAGATTTCATGTTAGGATCCTGTGACACACAAGAAATACTATCTGTGAGATAAAAAGAGCCACTCAGAAGGCATGATTTCCATGTATGGTACAGGGTAAATTCCTTTCAGTAATATGTCCATACCTGTTGACTTATTCCTACACATGAAATTTTGGTGATGTTAATGAGTGTGTGGTTCACATAGAAAACATGGTATAATACATTCTGGAAACAAACTGACATTTAAACAACATAGTGAGTACTCCTTCGGCTCTGATTATTTTCAAAGGCAAGGAAACAAACTCAAATGGGTTTTTGCATCTGTCTCAATAATTTTGACCTAGCTACAAATCTATAAAAAGCTTCACCTTCCACTATGGTATATTCTGCATTATCAGACATAGGTTATAATTCCAAAAATGAAATGAAATTTTTTTTTGTATTTTAGAGAATTTTAAAGGTAACATTGAAAAAAAAAAAAAACTTTAGACAGTCTAGTGCTGGCACTATAGACAATTTATGTCTGGGCCCTGGCGTAATTTTTTTGGCTCTTTTCTTGAGGAATAAAAACTAGTTAATCTTTATATTACTTATTAATATTAGTATTATTTCCCCAGAATAGGGAGAACCTAAAAGAGCTCCCTACCAGACTATTTGTGTTACAAAGTTTGAATTTGAGTAGTTGTTACTTTGGATATTTGACATTGATTACTCAGTTTTAAATTTCAGTACTCTTTAAATGAGATAGACTATGTAGAGACACATAGCATAGGAAATATAGTGAGTATATTGACTGCATACCTTGTGAGAATTAGTAACACTTTTTCAAACTTTTACCAGTTTTGGTGATTTCATTTTATGAAGAACTATTTGAAAGTAGCATATTTTGCAAATAATAACGTTTTCTGTATGGAGCCCCAACTAAGTGTCAGGAACCACGTTACATGCTTTTTTGTGCATTATTTCTGATCCTCAGCACAATTCTTCAGTTAAGTCTTATTAACATTGTTACACATACAAAGCAGCTGATGCTTGGACTAGTTAAGTGACTTTTCAAGGCCCCACCATTAATTGTTTGATACAGGATTTGATCCCATATCTCCGTAGCTCTATAGTTGGATTTTTGTTGTTTTTCCTGTGGTACTGGAGTTTGAACTCGGAGCCTTCACCTTGAGCTACTCTGCCAGCCCTTTTTTCTAATGGGTTTTTTGAAGATAGGGTCTCGTGGAACTGTTTGCCTGGGCTGGCTTCAGACCTCGATCCTTCTGATCTCTGCCTTCTGAGTAGCTAGGATTACAGGCATGCTTCATTTTTTGTGAGTCCCACCTTTTTTTCTGTGTACCACTTTGCTTCCTGTGTTCCAGGCATTTTTCTTCCAAATTATCACTTCCCATCCTGTCTTAACTTTTTAAAAGCTTTCACTTACCTCAGTACTAACCATTATGGTAGAAAATGTACTTCATATTGCTATTGCTACCACATTTTATATGAATCATTGTTCCCTTTCATGAACTCTGTTATAACTAGCCTGAGTCTCAATAAGCAGACTTAGAAGGAGATTTAGAAAGGTCCACTTTTATTTAATAAGGATTTATTTTAAAAGGACTATATGCTGCCATCTCTGGTAAATATTTATTGAGCTCCTATAATGGTTTTTGAGAGCTATGGGATTTGAACATTATTAAAACCCAGTTCTGACCTCCAAGAGTATTTGCCCTAGAAATAAAACAGACATGTAAATAAGTAAGCACAAAACAGTATAAAACATGAAAATTAGAAGACATACAAGGTATAGTATATAGTGGTGGATAAACAGGTAAGGTGGTAACTCCAGGGACTATTAGGCATATCTTCATAGATAGGCTACATGAACAGAACTTCTAAGCCAAATTTCTGTAGAAAAGTATGTAGGTAGGAAATATATAAAAAGATCTACTACAGTTTTATATTAGGTTAAATACTGTCCCCATTGTTAGAAGTAAACCTATAGAACCTTACTTACGTCTATGTTTGACATTTAGCCCCTAAAACAATAGTTAGGTAGGCTATTCAATCAACCTTGAGTTGTTTGTTTTTTCTAGAATCATGATAACATTACCTTAGTAGAGAGAGCCTTATACCAAATTACAAGTTCATGCTAATTAAGTGTATTTGTGGTTTCTAATCAAAGATACGACATTGAGTAAAGGTATATTGTTACTATTTTTCAAAAATACTGTAATGATGTTAGGAATTGATATTATTCTGCTTCCAAGATAAGGAAAACAAACATAACTATTGAATTCCAAAGCAGTGCCCTCCATGTCAGAGGAGGAAAGAATTGAGAAAAGAATTCCCAATTGTACATTTTGTTCTGTTCAGGAAGACACTTTATAGTTGTACTATCATCTTTTCTTTTCAAATAGGGGAGTTCATCAAAGCTTTGTATGAATCAGATGAGAACTGTGAAGTGGATCCCAGCAAATGTTCATCTAGCGAGCTGATAGACCATCAGAGCAACCTAAAAATGTGCTGTGAGCTGGCATTCTGCAAGATCATCAACTCTTACTGGTTAGCTGGTGTCCATGCTTTATCTCTTGCTTATGAAAGTCATCACAAAGGAAGGACTTAGGGGGAAAACGAGAAGTTTCTCTGGTGTAATCCTGTCTAAATTCTAAATCCTCACCATAAGCAAAAATACTAGCTTTTTTTTTTTTTTTTGTGATAGGGTCAAGATAGGGTCTTGCCATCTTATTTGCCCACTCTGGCTTCAAATTGTGATCCACCTGATCTCTGCCTCCTGAGTAGCTAGGATTACAGGCTTTATGGTCAGTGCCCGACCAAATAATCTTTTCCATAATGTTAGATATATATATTTTTTAGTATTACTCAAAAGTAGTTTTCTAGCTTTTTAATATATTTACTAGTGTTGAACGTGTATGTTCATGAATCTTGATCATTGCTTTACTCCCAGCAACTGATGAGATTTTTGACGAGCAGTCTTTAGATAAATTATGGTAAGCTATATATTAAGCCACCTGGTTTAGTCAGGACCCTCATGCCATTTTCTCACTTTGCAAAGCTAAATTTACTAATCCAGAATTTCATAGCTTTCAGTTTCCAGTCTCCAGCTGGCCTTCTGTGAATTTTCCACTACTTTTCAGGCAAGAATCAGGGATGAGGCATGAGCCTTATCTCTGAATCTCTACTGGGTCCTCCTCATAGCTTGGCTCTAGAGCAAAGGTGTGCCAGGTCAGAGTGGGGTCACTTGTGCTTTCATGGATTATGGTACTTCTGTAGTAGAGGTTTAAGTATTTTTTTTTCCTTCCCTAGTGTTTTCCCTCGTGAGTTGAAAGAAGTTTTTGCATCATGGAAGCAGCAGTGCCTGAACCGAGGCAAGCAAGACATCAGTGAGCGGCTTATTAGTGCCTCTTTGTTTCTCCGCTTTCTTTGCCCAGCTATTATGTCTCCCAGTCTTTTCAACCTTATGCAGGAGTATCCTGATGACCGCACATCTCGGACTCTAACTCTTATTGCCAAGGTCATTCAAAACCTGGCCAACTTTGCCAAGTAGGTGGTACTACCATAACCACTTTAAAAATACATGGTTTCAAAAAATACATGAGACTTAAGATTTGAATGAGACTAGGAAGCCTCCTTACTCATATTACTAGATTTTTATTGTACTGTCAATAAAAAACAGCAAAAAAATTACATAAATATTAAGTAACCTATGGTACATGTATTCAATGGAATACTTAAAGCCTCTTAAAATAGTGCTTACAAAGAACTTCCAATAACATGGAAAATGATAAAGATGTAATTAAATGAAATGAAAACAATAATAAAAAGATAGGATACGAAATGGTACATATTATTCTAACAATATGAACACAGAAGAATGTGAAGTATGAAAGTACTGGGAAAGAGCTGGGGATGTAGCCCAGTGATAGAGCACTTGCCCAGGATGCACAAAGCCCTGAATTAGATCACCAGAACTGTGGTGCGGGGGGGATATATATATATATATATATATATGAAGAACAATCACACAAATTTTGTAGTTACATTATTTAGGACAACTAGCCTGGCCAGTTCTTAAAGACAGTGTTAGGAAAAATGTAAAAGATGGAAGGGTTCAAGATCAAGAGAGACCAAATGCGATACTTGAAACTTATTTGGAGCTTAAATAGGAAAAAAAAAAATGTAGGGAGCCAGGCATGATGGTGCACGCCTATAATCCCAGCAGACAGGAGGAGGAGGATTGAGAATTCCAGGCCAGGGATATATAGCAAGTTTTAGGCCATCTTGGGCTACATAGTGAGACCCTCTCTCCACAAAGAAAAAAAAAAAGGAAACAGTAGTAGGATTCAAATATGGACTATATATAAGATGATTCATGAGTACTACTGTAAGAAATTTTAGTGTGAAAATGGCATTGGTTTCTATGAGTTATCATTATTTTGAAAAATTGGTGCTGAAGTATTTAAGGGTGATGTCTATAACTTACTTAAAATGGTTCAAAAAAAAAGTATATTATATAGAGAGTGAAAGCAACTTAGCAAAGTGTTAATATTTGGTTAATGTAGATGAAAGGCACATGGATATTCATTGTATATTCTTTCAGCTTTCCTATAGGCTTAAATTTTTTTCAAAAGAAAGTTAGGGGGAAAGCAGTTGCACTCAAATGTAAATGTTTGGGTAGTTAAATGGATGCAGCCACACTTTTTATAGCTTTCAACTTTTTCCTCAGTACATGTGTGTTTTTATAATTTTGTAGGAAATAATTTTAAGAAGTGACTGGGAAAGAATTCACACTTGGCAAAATTGAGCACAGATGTATTTAATATGGAGACTTAAACACAAGTTTCTATTAGCAATATATGAAAGAAAAATTAGAGCTTCAATGAAACTGATTGTTTTCTAATATAGTGTTTTATTAGAAGTACACTTTTAACTTTGTATAACCTATGTATAAGCTAGTGCAGAAAGATACATATTTACCCATATTTGAGCTCATTCAAGTAAATTATTCCTAGTTTATCTTGGAATAAGCTTTCTAGATGTTAGTTAGGCAATGAAGATAGCTGGAATATAGCTAGGCAAAAATGTTTTTCTCTAACGGAAATAAAGAGCAAGTACAAAGCCTTGGAGAAGAAAGAGTACAATAGTCTCCACTTATCCAAGGTTTTGTATTCCATGATCAACTGTGATCCAAAAATATTAAATGAAATATTCCAGAAATAAATAATTCATTAGTTTAAAAATTGCATGCCATTCTGAGTAGCATGGGGAATTCTTATGCTGTCTAGCTCTCCCCTACCTAGAATGTGACTCATCCTTTTGTTAAGTATATTTGTTGCAAATGCTACTCATCTGTAGTAGGTTCTTAGTTATCAGCTGGCCATTGAGGTATCACAGTGCTCATGTATGTTTTATGTAATAATATCCCCAAGACACAAGACTATTGATGCTGGCAATTTGCATACACCAAAGAGAAGCTTTGAGAAGTGAAACTTCATAGATGTGTAGGCATAGGAAAAAAACATAGTGAATATAGGGTTCTGTACTGTCATCAATTTCAAGTATTGAAATGTATACCATGGGTGAGAGGAGACTATTGTATGATGTATTTGAGAAATTTTGAAGAAGCTAGCAATAGTGAAGTTTGCATGAGTGAACATTTGGTAGATAAGTAGAGAATTTTAAATACAAGAAAAAATTAAATTTGGCTTTATTCTACATAAAATAGAAAGATTTCAGTATGTATTAAAGTAGTATTAAGAAAGTATGTTTTAAAAATTAGAAATAAGGGCAAAATAGTTTCTGCTGGGTATTGAGGGGGTGGGGGGAGAGAGAGGGGGCGGAGTGGGTGGTAAGGGAGGGGGTGGGGGCAGGGGGGAGAAATGAACCAAGCCTTGTATGCACATATGAATAATAAAAGAAAAAGAAAAAAAAGAGGCAAAAAAAAAAAAAGAAAGTATGTTTTAGCAGTTATGACTTAACAGAGAAACAAAATTAGTCTTTATCTCTACAAAAAAAAAAAAAAATTCTGTACCTCTGTGTAAAGTCAACTCAATCACACCTCTTTTCCTGAATGTGTTCTTTCTCATTTTCTCACTCTTCAGATTTGGTAACAAAGAGGAATACATGGCATTCATGAATGATTTTTTAGAACATGAATGGGGTGGAATGAAGCGCTTCCTTTTGGAGATCTCTAATCCAGACACCATCTCAAACACCCCAGGCTTTGATGGTTACATTGATCTGGGCCGAGAGCTTTCAGTTTTGCATTCCTTACTATGGGAAGTAGTTTCCCAACTTGATAAGGTAAAGTAGGCTGAAGAATAATGGGAAATGGGAGAGAATTTAAGTGTTCTAAATTTTGGAGACTACAAATAATAGCACTCATCCTTTCCACCAGTTGAAAGAAACCACTTGTCCTAGATATCTGAAAGTAAATGTTTATCACTTCTGAGTAAAATAGAAATTCTAGAAAGCCATAGATTCATTAATATATTTTTAAGTAATTTTCTGGGTTAATGAAGTATAATTCTACAGATGTATTTACTATATATCTTAAGACTTGCCTAGAAACTAATATCAAATATTGGTGTGTATATCCTTATTCTTGTATTATTATACATGATAGATGAAATAAAACCTCATCTAGTAATTTCTGACAAAAACAGAGACTTAAATACTGTTTATCATGTTTAAGTAACTATACCCATGAGTGAAAAATAATTTCACTATATAAATTAGAGTTTGATATAAAATTAGTGCTAACAGTCATATGGAATCTGAAATTGTGATGCTTTCTTTTTTTACAGATGTAAAATAAGAATACAGAAATCAATTATTCATTTAGTTTCTGACTAAATAAAGATTTCATTATAACAGATTAATAAGTAAATGTAAAACATGCCAATCATTTTCTTCCTTCTGGAATTTTACAAAAAGAAATCGATGTTTTAGTAGAAAATAGTTTAGTAGTATGTTAGGATAACTTTTAAAAACAAAGTTATTTTTCTGTGATAAGGATTTATCTGTTTTCATCCATATTATCTAAAACATATTGTACTAATAAAGATTTAAGAAGAATAAAACCTACTAACAAAGACCACTTTTCTGTAAAACACAAATGGTAATGTGTCCACTGGTTCTTAAAACATTTAGAAAATAATAAATCATTCCTTATTTTCCCTTTTAGAAATGCTAGCTAGATTTTAAGTTGCAGCTGTGTTGAACGTAAATTCCTTTCATATCATGTCTCAACACTGTGGAGCAAGTAAAGACTTCTTCACATGCTGTTTGTACTCCTTTGAGCAATATAGAAGAGTGTTGATTGTCTGGAGATGTAGGTCAGTGCTGGAGTGCTTACTTAACATATGCATCCAGAACCACAAAAAAAAAAGAAGTTTGTTGATTATTAAAGAAGACCCAATAGCAGACATATAAAACTACCTCACCATTGAGAGGTCCCATAAGACCACATGAGGATAAGAATCCACTAAAGAAAAATGATTGAGATGGATAAATCAAACATGAAAAATTTATTCTTTGTTGGATAACTGTATCAGTGGGATATACATACAGTTATCCGGTTATCCAAGGTTAGGATCTTTTTAACAGGTTTTGCTGTGTAAACACACTTTGTCCGTTTTAGTCTCTGTTTGGTCCTGGGAATCAGTGTATCAGGACATACCTTATAGAGAGAGATTACCTCATTTTGAAAAAAATTACCTTACTAATGGACTCAGTTGACAGTGATTCAGGGTTCCCAAGATTGACTAGTTTAGGGGATGGTATTACAAACTAGCTGCATGTCCTGCGGTGCTCTGAAACCCTGAATGCAGCACCTTCCTGTATGTTGGCATGGATTTCTTTTCTCACATCATCATCTTTCTTTGGAGGTTTCATAACACTAGCCAATCCGCTGGTCTTGAAGGTCCTTTTGATTAGAAGGCATTTGGTTCTTCACCTTCCTTTCTCCACCTTGGTCTTCTACCACCCAAAGATTTAGTTTGCTTTGCATGCCTATTTTAGTTGGAATGGCAATAGTTTGGTTGTTTTGAGCATGTCTTTTAATTTTTTATTTGCATAATCCTAATTTCTATTTCCTTTCTTTCCTCAATGTCTGCTGCACCTTGTTCGCCTCCTCCATTCATCTCGACGCCATGGTTCTGCTGCTCCATAACAATGCATTATGAACCTGCCACTCCCATATGCAAACACCTACCCTTCCCTTCAACCTACACCCCTCCATCAATGGTCATCGTTCTCCCAAAAACAATCTGTCGTGGATGTCACAATGCTTATTATCCAATTAGGGTGAAAATTCCTTCCTACAGGCGACCGTGGCAAAACTGGGGCCGCTTCCTCGTGTACTTGCTGATATTACCAAATCTCTGACCAATCCTACACCAATACAGCAGCAGTTGAGACGCTTCACTGAGCATAACTCCAGTCCAAATGTCAGTGGAAGCCTCTCCTCTGGATTGCAAAAGATATTTGAAGACCCCACTGACAGGTATGAAGGAGAAAGTTTGAACTACTGTCTCAGAAACAGATAATGCCAGAAATCTGTTTAACTTACTCGTTGAATTTGAAATTTAAAGTTAAAGGCAATTGAGTCATCTGAGATAAATCCAGTTGTCATAATGTACAAGATCTAGTAGCTTATTATCTAGGATAGAGTAAACATACAAAAATCTATGTCTTGCTTAATGAAAGATTAAGAGCATTTATGAAATTGATGTTTTCAGATAGCACTCAAAACTCTGGAGACCTCAGTTAAAACCATTTTATAGCTAACTATGTCAGTTAAATGGGTAGGTACAATATTGATGCTTAGACTTTGTGTTCTGGATTGGCAAGATTTGTGCTTTAACAAGAATATTGTGGTTGCTACTCAGAGCTTCTCTTGTAGGTTTAGACAGAACTAATTAAGTATGAAATAGAATCCTGTGGGAGTGCTTAAAACCTAAGCAAGAGAGTACTAGAATTCTAGGAAAGCTGAAGACAGTGATATGGTTTAGGAGAAAGATAAAAATGCTAGATTTTATTCTGAGAATTATAATGATGAAATTTGAAATTTAAATTCCACATTGGACCTGTGAAACTTCTAAAGAGAGCTGAAAAAAATTAACTATGTCAAATATGCTTTAAGAATAATTAAGGGTCCTTTCCTTTTCCACAGTGATTTGCATAAACTAAAATCTCCAAGCCAGGACAACACAGATAGCTATTTCAGAGGGAAAACATTATTGCTAGTTCAACAAGCTTCCTCCCAGAGCATGACTTATTCAGAAAAGGATGAAAAGGAAAGTAGCCTTCCTAATGGTCGGAGCATCTCTCTCATGGACCTCCAAGACACCCATGCTGCTCAGGGGGAGCACACTTCTGTCATGCTTGATGTGCCTATGCGCCTGACAGGAAGCCAACTTTCCATAACCCAGGTGGCCAGCATCAAACAACTGCGGGAAACCCAGAGCACTCCCCAGAGTGCACCCCAAGTGAGAAGGCCCCTGCACCCAGCCTTGAGCCAACCAGGGAGTCTCCAGCCCTTGTCATTCCAAAACCCTGTATATCACCTCAATAACCCAATTCCAGCAATGCCAAAGGCCTCTGTAGATTCCAGTTTGGAGAACCTAAGCACTGCCAGTTCTAGAAGCCAAAGTAACAGTGAAGACTTCAAACTCAGCGGACCCAGCAATAGCAGCATGGAAGATTTCACCAAACGTAGCACTCAAAGTGAAGATTTCTCCAGGCGGCACACTGTGCCAGACAGACACATACCTCTTGCTCTGCCACGACAAAATAGTACTGGGCAGGCCCAAATCCGAAAAATGGACCAGGCTGGGTTAGGTGCCCGAGCCAAAGCCCCCCCATCCCTGCCACATAGTGCTTCTTTACGCAGCACTGGGAGTATGTCTGTGGCTTCTGCAGCCCTAATGGCTGAACCTGTCCAGAATGGAAGCCGGTCCCGGCAGCAGTCCTCTTCCTCCAGAGAGAGCCCTGTTCCCAAAGTGAGAGCAATCCAGAGACAACAAACACAGCAGGTAGGCATGAGTTCTATAGTTTGGTACCTACTTGGTCCAACCACTGCCTTGGTTCTTTATATTATGTCATTGGGAAATCCAGTTGCTGACAAGGTTCCTTCCCATTTAAGAAAGTTCACTGCAACCTTTAAATGGAAGAGGGAAATGAAAAGTTTGGGAGGCTTCTTGTTAGATGAGACATGCTAACACACACAAAGGACCTTTCCTTCTCTACAGGAGCAGAACTGCTACCTCAGTTTGTACTTAGAATAGATCCATGGTGTTGAATGAATAATTGCACATTTGAACTAGGAAATCTGTAGGCAAAAATCAAACCATGATATATTTTGGGAATCATGCAATTATTCCTTCTTAATTTTAATTTTTTTCTTAAGCTTCCAGAATAAAGTTGTACATTCTGAATTGAGGTTTAAGTAACTGCTCCCTACTTTATCCTCCAGTTCCCTGTGGAAATACCAAGTACCATATGCCTTTTCCTGAAAATGACTAGAAAAATAAACATCACCTATGGAGGCAAGGGAAAGGAGAAGGTTAAAAGGTGGAAATGCGTGTGGTCGATAAGATGTCTAAATTTTTGCACTGTTTTAAATATGTTTCCCTTATATTACTATATACATGGACAAGCCCAACTAGTGTCACACCAAAGATTTTCAAACTTTTTTTCTTATTTGCCAAGAATTTAATCTTTCCTTCCTTACATATTACACCAGTACATATTTGCCCTTTGTTATAAACTAACAACCTTACAAGGGTATGTATGTGTCTGTGTATGTGTATCTTTTATCTAAAAAGATTTTCCTTAAAAGTTTTGTATGCATTGAAACCTAATTACACTTTACTCTAGGGAGTTTTGTAATTAAGAGAATTCTATGACAAATACTTTTATACAGCAAAATAACTGAGCAGGGAGCCTACAATAAAATCCCAGTGTTTCTCGTCAATATATTTGCATCTTTACCGGTAGACTCTTAGTGATTTGACAGCTTCTGTCTTTACCCTGCTATGATAAGAATCCCTTGCCCTTGTACTGATAATTGTTTAAAGAAAAAAATGGAACAGATACAGAATGCCTGGATGCAAAAGCAGAGAAAATGAAAAGCAAGACCAACTTGCACTGATTCTGCCTGGGCAGAACCTGCTACTTAGTCACTTCTTCCTAAAAAATAAAGTTGTTCCTTCAGTCTTATGTTTTTTACTCTTATTTTGTTATGTTGCCCAAAAGTTCACCAATTCATTTGATTTAATAGGTATTTTTATTTAAATAAAAGGAAAAATACATATATATTCCTGTATATCTTCATTTTGTGGTTAGTTGAGACAGGGTCTCACTATATAACAAAACAGGCCTTAAACTTGTGATCCTTCTGCCTCTGCCTCTGCCTCCTGAGTCCTGGGATTACAATACAAATGTGTACCACCATGGCTGGCCTGTAAATCTATTATATATAAACATAGATACAGTTACATATATAGATACAGGTTTTTTTTTGTTATTAAGCTGTCATTCATACCTTGTGATTTAGTTTCTTCATATTGTTTCTGTGCAGTGTTTCTACACAGAAAGTAGTTTGATATCAACTACTTTTAGTAGAGAAAGAGAATTAAAGTGTTTATTGGAAGAAGAATGGAAAGAGAAGTAATTTTAGAAATGAAATACTATGTGAAAGCAGATGGCTACCTGAGATTGCCAAGAATGAGGTAGGAAATGGAGAACATCAGATCAGCAGAGGGAGGCAGGACAGTGGAAAGGCCCTCTTGCTTTTCAGAAGTTCAGTTGGTCCAGCCCTGAAAAGAAAAGGAAAACTAAAATTCTCTTCTTTTACTTCTGCTTGCTCATTCCTCCTATATCATGTAGTTCTCAATTTCAAGGGCTCATGACTCAGGCTGATTGCTTATAAATATTGCAAATTATTAAATAGCCTTTTGTTGCTCATCTGGACCAGTTATCATTTATAAAATTTTTCCTATAGGAAGATAGAACAGCTATCACACAACACAGAGCATATGTTTCCATGAGTGGATATTTGGCTGCCTGGATGTGTGGGAGATGAAAAATGCATGCCCATACCATCTGTCTCAACCATTAATGAGTTAGGGAATGTCTGTGTTATATTGGTATGAACTGGGTACAGCCATAGTAAGACGTCCTAATACAACCTTAAATTTTCACCTTTATTTATTCCTTTGCTGATAACTGTCACTGTCATAACAGTTGAAACATTAATTGGTATATTTTGATTGCTCAAGTCTCTGATTTTTTTTTCCTAAACTGGCTTTTTCTACCCAGATGGTTCATTCTTTTGAACTTTTTATTTACTCTTTTTATTCCATATCTGTTTCTTGCTTGTGTTTCATCTCACTCCCATGAAGCCTCTAAAGTTCTATATAATCAGCACATTTTTTTAAAAAATTCCTTTACATATTTTAATTGCAAATTGTGTTGGGAAATTCTTCTCTTGACAAAACTAGAGGATTTCTTTGTGGGGATTGTTCCTTAGGCATCTGTAATTATCAGTGGCTTTGTCCCATGCAAATTCCATTTATATCTTAGCACAAAGGAGCAAGCCTTTGCTGGCAGTGTGACTGGTTTCAGTCTTCTCCAGATAGTGAATAGGAAGGAAATAAAATCCTAGTAAAACAATTTACACAGAAAGAATTTTTTTTTCCAGGAAGCTCTTTGAATATTTTGACCCCTCTGAGCCTCTGTTTGGATTTTTTTCTCATTTTCTTCTCCATTTCACTTTTCACAAATCATATGCTTTGTACAAATAATAGACTTTTTTATCTACAACATGAGTTTCTCAGATTTATCATGTTCCCTATCCTTAGAAATTCACATTTGAAGAGGAAAGCCTTTTAAAATAGGTGTTTGACAAGCCCATTGTTATAATGCACATTTGGATTTGTTGAGCCCTCTTTTAAACAAACTCCTCAGGAGATCTTAGAGTTTACTTATTAATTTAGTCAGCCCTTTCTTTGGTGTTGATAGCAGAAGTGTTAGTCATTTATGAGAACCTATTTCAAGCTATAAAGAATCTGAAACTAACAAGTCTTATTTATACCTAGTAAATATTAGCAAGAACAGAAATCCCAGCATAGCCGGCAATATGACTAATTGGTATCAGCAAAACTGTTATATCATACCCTTTTGCCCTAAAGTCATCAGTATTTTTGCTGGGGAAACCTTATGCAGCTTCATCTCAAAAGGGAGATTTTCCTAGTGGGAATTCCAGCTCCTTTTCATTCATTTCTTTTTCATCCTTCATTTTCTTTAATTATCCTTCTGAAAGTGACTGGATATAAATTTTCTTCCTAAGTCTGTAGCTAATTGTGATGGAATACAAACCACTTTCTAGCTGATTTACTCAATGTGTATTTAACTAGTCGGAATCATTCAAAAGAATTGTATAAACTGGTGTTGTAAGAGGTACTTCAACTGCTTTTGCTGAAAAGCACTGCCCCCTTACTTGGAGTGATTAACTAAAAGCAGAAGAAAAGCTTGGCATTTCTGCCTCCATTTGTATCTGTCTTTGTTCCAAGCCATTCTTCTGCAGTCCCTTTGCAATTACCTTGGGTTCCAGAAAGGACAGGATTGATGGATAACATCTTTATGACAAGGGACTGAAACTGTCCCTAAGGAACATCAGAGCCTTGCAGGACAGAGCACCCCCAAATGAGAACAATTACCTATAATGATGAGGCCTGCATCCTAGAGCAGGAGTAATCTCATGGGAAGCAGATTTCCCCCTCAAGTCATGACTGCAATAACAACTTCTTCTGGGGAGTCTTAGGACTGAGATAATCATTAATCAAGCCCCACCTGACCAATTCTGAGACAATAAGTTGCCAGATCACCTGTCAGCCACCTCTGACCACCTGAATACCCCTAAAATGGACTGTTTAACTGTGTATGCTTTTATCCTCCTGCCCTAATTCTTCTTCTGTTTATATCTAAACTCATGTCTGTACCCCAAAGATGGCTGAACATGAACTAAAGTGCTGTCTTCCCATGGCATACATCATAAACCCCCTTTCTCTGCTCTTCACCATGTCTCTTTACTTGGCATACAGGGGCAAGTGGCCATGCCTAACAGGCAGAATCCCATGAGTTTGGTCCTGAGGTCTTAAAACTCTGGTTTCAGTGTCATTAGATTGACAATCTAATTGGCAAATAAGACCAGCATATGTTAGACCAAAAGAAAAAGTATAAAAGATGGTGAATACTTTTTATAGAGAGAGCATATATTTTAATAATAATTTTGAAACAAAAGTTACCATTTTTTTTGTTTGTTTTTGGTTTTTTTAGTGGTACGGAGGTTTGAACTTAGGGCCTCTCACTTGCTAGGGGCAGGAGCTCTACCACTTGAGCCCCTCCAACAGCCCTTTTTTGTGTTGGGTATTTTTGAGATGGGGTTCACAAACTATTTGCCTGGACTGCCTTCAAACCGTGATCCTCCTGATCTCTGCCTCGTGAGTAGTTAGGATTACAGGTATAGCCATTGGTGCCCAGCAATTCTGTGAACTCTTAATCATGAATAAAAGGAATAGTTCAGGTTGGACTGATTTGTCAATTTTTTATTTTGTTATTTTGACCACTTATTGCCTGCCAGTCAGAGTAGTAGGGTATATCAGGATATGGCTGAGAATAAAATTCAACCAATAAAATAGGAATGAAACTGTAGTTCAAACCCCAGTCCAAACTCCTGAGATTCCATATGTCAGGTCCAACCATTTGCCCCTTTACACCAAACAAAGAGACATAGTGAAGGACAGACAAAGGAGGTTTATTATGTGACACAGGTATGCCATGGGAAGACAGCACTTGAGTTCATCTTCAGCCATCAGCTTTAGGTTTAAATAGACAACTAGGGGCAAGGGAAGTCAGGTATGCATAATTATTAAGTGGTCCTGGTCACAGGTGTGGGCCAGTGGATTATTATCTCAGTCCTTTTAGGAGAAGGGTTTTGAAAATGTTATTGTTCTAAGGGATCTCTGTTGTTCAATAGGGATACTTTTTATCCCTTGTCATAAAGATACTATCAATTGCAGTCCTGTTCTTTCTGGAACCCAAGGTGTTTGCAAAGTGACTACAAAGAGAATGACTTAGAGTGAAGACATATAGAAAATGGAGGCAAGGATGCCAAGCTTTTCTCCTGCTCTTAGTTAATTCATGGGCCCAAATAAAGAATCCATGTTTTTCAGCAAAAGTAGCTTTTAAACACCCATTACAGGAATAGACTTGAAATGCCCAGTTCACATTGTTTCTCTCATAATTCATTGACCAGTATATTCATCCTTCTGAAGCAGCTACCGGCATCAACCAGTGGATTGAACTAATCTTTGTTTCTGTATCTTCTCACTTAACAGTTAAAGCATAGATTTACCCTAAGGTGCTGTGTTGTTGCTTTTGTTTTTAATACACTTTTAGGGGCTAAGGTCTTACTTCCTCTGTGTGTTCCTAGGAATACTATACATTTAAAGCTAAGGGCATCACAGGAAAAGAAGAACATGTTCTCAACCATATAAAGTAAAAGCTATTGAATTAGCTTCCTTGAAGTAATAGGTTCCTAATAGTAAGACTGTTATTAGTTTTAATAACTGTTTATCTCACACTGCTATTGAACAAAAAATTCTGGTTTCACAGAAAAGCAGCTTTCCTGTATGAAAGTGATGATTATAAAAACTAAGATGGCATTTGTCTCCTTCAAATATTGACTTTTTGTTAATTTTTTAAGACTCAATGCTACATTTTTTTGCCTTAAAGGTACAAATATATCAAATAACCTTGTTAATATTTCCCTTTACCAGTATAGAAACAATTCATTGTGTACTGCTTTTAAAATCCAGCAGGAGGAGAGCTATAGTGTGCCTGTGTATGTATATAAAGTAACTTGCAGTTTACAAAGTGTTTGCACATGCTTTCTCATTTTTCTCATAAAAACTTTTCATGTGGATAAATAGCTATCTTCCTTTTATAGATAATATGTGTTCTATAGGCCAGTGTTCCCAAAGTATGACACTCAAAATTATTTAAATGTACACAATATATTTATTTAATCAAACATATAATTGTTTTGATACATGTTAGAAAAATATATCGCCATTAATATATAAATACAAAGAAATATTTAGCATCAAACTCAGGATTTTCTGATACTGCTAAGCACAAGGTTTAGCTAACTAAAACAGATTGTTTTAAAAGAGATAAGTAAATAATATATTAGTGATATGGTTTGACAAAAATTATATGATACACAAATAAGCAAAGTATAAGAAATGTGTCTACAACCGTAGTAGAGACAGAGATAGAATTTTTAAGTACTAAGGGTACTAAAGTTTGCTACATATTTACATGTAAAATAGTGGCTTTTAGGGAAGGAATTTCTTCACATTCACTCACAGTTGTGTGTGTGTGTATGTAAACTGCACACATCTATACTCAGGCATTAAGCAGTTCGTGATACATATGTATAATCTTTCTGTAAATCAGCTAAGCCAGCCTCTTCAAACCTATAAGAAATACCTTCATATTACTTTTGTGCATATATTTATGAATTCTCTCCCATCTCTGATATCTTTTTAGTCTCTGTAGACAGTTTTTTTAATCCAGTCTTTCTCTGAGGACCATCAAAAATACCCCTTCTTTTAAAAATACCTATTTAGAGTTCAACTGGTTTCTAGACCAGAATGATAAAAAGGTTCTTAAGATTTAAATCTCAGCATGGGAATAAAAATTACCCTCCATTATGAAATTTTGTAGTGTTGGTTCTCAAAATACAAATCCATATTGTTCTCTCTCTCTCTCTCTCTCTCTCTCTCTCTCATATTCAAAATGAGAAATTGAAATTATCTTATTCAATCCACACAACTTCCTATGAGATGGTCAGGATAGGTGATGGTGGTGATGGTGGTGATATCCCTATTCAGTAGATTAGGAAAATAGAAAATTAAGTGATTTAACTACTGAGTAGCACACTTGCTCCTCAAGTCTAGAATTCTTTATAGTCTGTATATCTATATTAGAAAAGGGCAATTTATCTTGCTGTCTTAACTGGGTAAAAATATGCCTTACACTATCCAGTACCCACCATTTTGATCCTATATTCATTAAGAAACTCTGGTCTAAAACAAAATGGACTCGTGAATATTCTTAACCCATCAGGAAATCAGTGTTCTGTAAAAATAACCATATGAAAACTAAGTATTTGGCATTATAATATAAGTGGTCACTTTGAGAGTTTGTTTACCATTAGTGAATTCTTTGGCTCATGATTATCTCTGAGTTTAACAGACATTTTCTCACCTGAACAATCAACTATTAAGTTTTGTTTTCTTTTGTTCTGTCATCATCTTTATTTCATTATGTAATTTGGTACCTAACAACATTTGGACCATTGGGCAAATTAACAATTTTAAGATCTTGGCTTTCTTTAGAAGGAAAAAAATAAAGATGGTTTTTAGATATGATGTTTACAAGTTTCTATTCAGAATGGCTTGTTGTTGCACAAATTGGTAGTCTCTTTCCCTAACCCTAGCCAGCCCTGGCATTGATAAATATTACTTAAAACTGAAGACATTTATTAGAAAACTAAGAGATCGCAGTTACATCTTCCTAGAATAGCTGTCCTTATGAAGCATAATGAGTGGTGAGCTCTTTGGGAATTGCTAACAACTATTTCTGATGTAGGTTCAGTCACCTGTGGACTCAGCCACGATGTCCCCAGTAGAGAGGACAGCAGCCTGGGTTCTGAACAATGGGCAATATGAAGAGGATGTGGAAGAAAGTGAGCAAAATCCAGATGAAGCCAAGCATGCTGAGAAGGTAGAACCTAGTCTGTCTTTATTGACTTACTGTCCCCACAGACAACTGAGGCCACTAAAAGATTATCCAGCCAAGAACACTCTCTCCCCTACCCCATCTTCACCATTACTTCTTAGGTTAACCATGTCTATTTATAAAAGGTCAGTAGTGTTTCTATGTAAATGTATGGAAAATGTCCATCATCCTACAGGGAAGAGGGTAAGATACAAGTTTTTATGTATATTACCTTAATCTGGGCAATACTCTAATAATAATTTGTAGTCATTTTAGGTCAATATTTAGTATTTCTATAAACCAATTGCTTGACTTCAGCCAAAGTCAAAATTACCTTAAGACTGGACATACATTCTCTATCTTCTGTACAATTTAGTTGAAATTTTAGGTGTTTTGTTATTTAGATTTTGTTTTGTTTTGGTTTGGTTTGGTTTTTTGCCCTTTTTTTTGGTAGTACTGGGGTTTAAACTCAGGGCCTTGTGCTTGCTAGGCATACTCTCTACCACTTAATCCATGCCTGGCTTTTTTTTTTTCCTGTAGTTATTTTTCAGAGAGGCCAGCCTTAGACTGTTACCCTTCTACCTATGCTTCCCATGTAGCTGGGAATACAAGTGCACACAACAATGCCCAGCTTATTTGTTTAGACAGGGCCTCACTGACTTTTAGTCCAGGCTGGCCTCACACCACAATTTTCCTGATCTCTGCCTCCTTCTGAGTAACTGAGATTATAGGTGTGAGCCACGGCACCTGTTTTTGTCTTTTGTGAATAAAGAATGTCTAGCTCCAAAGATAATTCTTTAAAAGTTGTCATCTGTTGTTTGAGAGGGGTTTTTTTGGTTTGTGGTTTTTTTTGTTGTTTTGTTTTTTGGTGGTACTAGGGATTGAACTCAGGACCTCAGGCTTTCTAGGCAAGTGCTTTACCACTTGAGCCATGCCATCAGTCATTTTTGGCTTTTAGTTTGTTATTCAGATAGGAGTTCCGCATTTGCCCAGGCCAGCCTCAGACCATGATCCTCTTATGTCTCTCTCCCAAATAACTGGGATTATAGGTGTGTACCACCATGCCCAGATTGTTTTCGAGATAAAGTATTGCTAACTTTTGCCTGGGCTAGCCTCGAACTGCAGTCCCCGTTTCTACCTCACCACCTCCCGAGTAGTGGAAATTAACAGTTGTACACCACCATTTCTGGCCTTCGTTTTGTTTTGAGAAAGGGTCTTGCTGTGTAGCTCACACTGGCCTCAAACTCTCCATCCTCCTGCTTCAGTTTTCTGAGTTGAAGGTTGGGGTTTTTTGGGAGGGGTTGGTTTTTTTTTTTTTTTGGTTTTGTTTTTTAAGAAAAATTGACATGGAAAACAAGGATTATCAGACAGTAACCTTGACATCACTTATAGCATTAACACATTTAATTAACAGTGAGACAAATTAACTTCTTGCTTATTAGAGCAGGCCTAAACTATGCTTATTAGTACAGTCTAACTCTTTAGAAATGTCATAAAAACTCTTACCTTTAACTTCTTGGATTAACAAACATAATTTAGAACCATGATGTTGAGTTAGCAATAGTTAGTTATCTGCTCATCAATTAAATGAGATAATATTATATAAAATTGTATTTTACAAAGTACCATATAGATGTGTCATTGATTGCTAGTGAACACAAGTAGCTCATCCGTAAGAAGGTTATGCTTCTCTCCTTACGTAGAAATGTTGATACTCCATTGTAACACCCCATCCACTGCAAGTTCAGTACAAGAAAGGGCCGTGTGGCCAGTTGAGTTACTGAATCTTATAAGGCTTCTTAGAGCACAGGTGTATTTTGGGCAAAAGATCCACATTATGAAATGGACCAAGAGGCTATCAGTCAGCACTAGAGACTATGTAGGCCTTTGCATAGTGTTTGTGACCTAAATAGTTCACATTTTCATGGTCAGGGAGAAGCAGTAATAGCCTTCTCTATCATGAAATTCTATTTAGTAGTTTAAATGTTGCTGCTTCTCTAAAGGACTGATTCTAGTAGAGTAAAGGAATGGCAATCTGATGAGCCAAGATATTGTGGGGATCCTACAGTACAAGTGATGATAAACCAGTCTTTTCTCCTGTAGACAGCTAGCTTTGGGCTTAAGTCATTTATCAGGCTTCTAAGAGCGTGATCCCCCCCCTTATTTGACACCTTTACAAATTGGCTGTGACTTATCAGCAATTGGTAGTTTAACGTAGAAAAAAACTATGTAAATTTGTAGAATTTGGAATGCCAAGTTAAGATTTAAAATGTAATTTTAGGAAAGAAAAGCTTCATTATCATTTATGGCAATTGATAATTTTAAGTAACATTAGCAACAGTGTGGGGAATAGCAGTTCAGACAGCATCTAGATACATTCCTTAGGGTTTCTTTCGTTAAAAAATAAATCACTAACCTTCAAAGCAATGTAACTCTTCTTTTCATTCTTACCTCTTCTCCTTTGCTCCAGTATGAACAAGAAATCAGCAAACTGAAGGAGCGCCTGAGAGTATCCAGCCGGCGGTTAGAGGAGTATGAACGCCGGTTGCTGGTGCAGGAGCAGCAGATGCAAAAGCTGCTGCTGGAATACAAGGCCCGGTTGGAGGACAGTGAGGAGAGGCTGCGAAGGCAACAAGAAGAGAAGGACAGCCAGATGAAAAGCATCATCAGCAGGTTAGAGGACCACCTGGTAGAAAATATTGCTCCTCCTTCAGGTGGGGGGATGATTCAAACACTCTTAAATGGGTGGCAACAAAAGGCATTTCCACCCCTGTATGAACTCTGTAGTATTCAGTACAAGTGTAATGACTGTATCTCTCCAAGTATCCTAAATATGAGACCTAGTGTACTTCCTACAAGGATAAAGGTAGACTTTTTCTTTAATAATAACAATTAGAAAAAAAGGAGTAGGGGTTCACTTGCATTTTAGAAGAGAACTGGTTCAAAAGATCTAAATGTCCAATGTCTAAGAATAACTCAGTTTAGAAAAAAAAAATTCCAGAAACACAGAAAGAAGCCTCACTGGATGTCTTTAGGGGCAGAGGAACAAAAGAGAATGCCACAGATACCAAGCAAGGAAGAATAGTTTTACTATGTTAATGTAGCACTCAGTATGGGCCAGAACTTTACAAATATTTGATCATCTCACCCTCTAAGGTAGGCATTATTATCCTTCTCATTTTACAGATTAAAAAAAAACTGGCAACAGATTCATTAAGTCTCTTGCCCAAGGTCACATAATGGTGCACCTGATTTAAGCCCAGGCAATCAGGCTCCAGAGTCCATACTTATAACCAATCAGTTTCAGTATTGTCAAATGCTGTGGACAGGTCAAGTTAACTGAAGACAGAAAAGGATTTTTGTTTTAGTAGTGTAGAGGGAATTGACCATCATACTGAAAGCCATTTGAGCAGAACAAAGGAGTCAGAGATGTGAATGGTGGATAAGAAACAAACTAGGCCTACTTTAGAGTGCCCTAGAAGAATGTTAGCAATGCAAGGGAAGAGAAAGATGTGACAGTGGGTACAGTACAACTTGAGATTAAGAGAAGATGGGTTAGTTTTTGTTGGTTGGTTTGATATTCTAAGTTTGCTAAGGGAAGAATCTGATAGGGAGGAAATGATTATGGGAGTACTGCTCCAAAGAACATGAAATGCATAGAATTCAGTCATAGATAGAAATCAATCTTTTTAGATGTCCTCTTCCAAGGTGGGAAAGAAGAAAGAAAAGATGGATGCAGGTCTTCTATTGGGAAATTGTAAATCTTGAACAGTGAGTTTTTAAGTTTCATATTGTCCACATTACCTAACCATGTCTTCAAAAATGTTGATACCTTCTTCCTGTCACATTCCAGGCTAATGGCTGTGGAAGAGGAATTGAAGAAGGATCATGCGGAGATGCAAGCAGTTATTGATGCCAAGCAGAAAATTATTGATGCACAGGTAGGCAAACTCTGGATCAAGTAAAAGGCACTTGTTTTTAGTAATAGTTATTTTCTAACTTCCCATCTTTGCAAATGGCAAGGCAAGCACTAAAAAATAGGCATTGAAAGGTTATTGGCCTTATTTTTTGAAGAGTAAATGAGTTTCTATATAAACTCCATTATTTTTCTTTTCTTTTGCTGATGATGAGTCTGTTAACCCAGCAAAGTATTAATGTGTTTAGCAAATCTCTCTTTGTTTGACAAATCTCACCTTGTGCATGATGTAGTTTGCTTCTTTCCTTATGGAAATAAGATATTCTCTAAGGGGGTAACAAAAGTACATGTGTCTGGCTTGTGACCTCCACTGATCATTGCTTGGCTGTGCTGTTCATGGTCTTGTCAGTCACGTCCACTGCCGTCAACCTCTAGCCCCAGACAGTAGAGGAATTTTCAGGGGAAAGACAAGATTGTAGAAGATACCATTCCTTGTCATTCTTTTGGTTCAGGATTTGGCATTGCTGCTTGGAATGTGCTTGGCTGCCCTTCTTTGTTGGTGCTATACTTAGAGAGCCTCTTTGGATAAAGGTTGATGAAATCAGAACCTAGTCCTCTACTCACAGTAGCTTACACCTGAGTCACCAGTGGGGTGATGGCTGCCAAGAGCACCTCACAGGGACATATCAAGATCAGTGCAAAATCCAAGACAAGAACTGTTTATAACTCCTTTTCATTTTACCAGCGCAAAATATTCTTGTATTTCTTAGAGTAAAACAAATAGCAAAAAAATACAGGTATAATTTTGATACTAGTTTCTCTGACCACTGAATGTATGGCATCTCTGAGGACAACCAGCCAAGTTGCATTTCTCACCTTAAGGTGAGAAATAAAAATGAGAGCAAGGACTTTATGTATAAATGTTCTACTTCCTTCTCTACATATCAGCCAGTAATCAGTATACGTTAGAGCCTCCAGTATTCTTAAACATGCACTTAACAGTCTAGTTTTCTTACAGGATCGATGTGGGATGGACTTTATTTTTCAGAGGAATTGGAAGATAGGCTGAAAGCATAGCCATGGAAAGAATGCTTTATGGGACTCATACTCCTTCAAGACCACTTGACTTGGAAGCTGGGTGTAATTTGTGATGCTTTCTCATGAGCATAGCTCACAAAATATTTTAGACTCTTGAACTCTATAGATTCTGGATATTTTGACCTGCTAAGAGCCAGAAGAAAGATCTGCTGTAATTATCTTACTTACATCTTTCTAGGTGTTGCCAAGGTGGGTGAGGGAAGAATAACGGAGACAAGGCCATCTTACTATACCATACTATTGAAGAAAAAAAAATCATCCTGTAGGCTTAAAAGAAACAGCCTCGATAAAGGCAATTTAGCCAGGAAAACTAGTACTGATAAGTTTCCACTTTCGGAATTTCAGTATAATAAAGCAGGGAGAGTTTTACTAATAACCACACCAGGGGAGGTTTTCATACTCATGAAATAAAACAGACCTTGTAAATAATTAGAGCTGCTTTAATGCAGTCAGTCTTAAGCTGGGGAGCTTTCTTATGCCACAGTCTTGGCTCTGTGCTTGTTAGCTGACAGGATAACCCCATCATTAATTTCTAAATGTTTCTACCACACTGTCCCCTATTTTGACCTCTAGGGCAAGTAATTTGGTATGAAGCATAAATCATAGTCACTGAAGGTGAAAGCCAGAGAGGGAATCTGACTTACCAGGGTTCAAAAGCTCTGGAAAGGAGAGACCTTCTCTGAGTTAACCAGGAGACTGTCTTTGTGCAGGGATATGAGAAATTCTACCCTCAAAGCATCAGTCAGTGTCAGACTTAGAGTCTGACCACAACAGTTAATATCTTGGCCATACCTCCAGGCAGTGGTTTTCAAATGGCTTGGTTCTCTAGATTATTTTGATGGAATCATAGTACCTTCCAAAGACCAATATACAGCTGCTCCAGTGACCATTCAGCAACAAAGACTGCTCTCTACCAATGGGAGAACATACTGGGATTGGTTAGTCTATTACCTACTCAGACACAGGCCTTACTGTATAATAAAGTAATACAGTGACTCACTGTGGATCTGCAAAGAACAATTAGACAATCTCTTAGACCACATATTGAAAACCACTGCACTATTCACAACACAAATTATAAACACTGCAGACAGGCTAAAAAACACATACGTGCATACATACGTGTATATATATATATATATATATAAGTATGTATGTATTCCTTAAAAAGAAAGTTTCTCAATTCCAACTGTTGACTTACTGATAAATTAGAATCTTATTATACCAAAAGGCTTTGAACATCTTATGGCTTCCTTTGCAACAAATGGTTCCTTTTATCAGGTCCTTTCTTTTGTAAGATTAAATCCTACCTCTTAATTATTCAGTGGAGCAGAATAGCCCTTCTGGCATCATTGATTAAATGAAGTCTGGGGGTGAAAGCTTCCCAGATAGGTAATCCATAATTTTATGTCCCTGATATGTGCCTTGGTGCTGCTGATAGTTTAAAAAAAAAATCTGAAATGAACACAGTTGCTTTTTGTGTGTTAGAGTTAAACTTAGCACATTTCATTTCTCAAAACACTAATGCCAGGTGCCATATGAATGGTTTCCATCTCTCTCTGCAGCCCTGTGCTTCTTCAAAAGAGGCTTGTGCATGAATTCAACCTCCCGTCTCCTGGAGTCAGTTCGTGCTGCCAGGCCCAGGCCTGTGCCAGCCACTTTCTAATCTAGAACTGCAAAAGGATAAGCATTGCATGGTTGAGTAACAGAATCACCAGGCCTGGACCTTGTAGCTTGAATGTGGGGATCCTAACAATGGTGCTAAGGAACCATTTTTAAAACATCAGACCAGGGAAAGTGCCACCTTTCACCCCCAAGCATGGAACACTGTGACTTTCAGGATGGCTCCATGTGACTCAGGTGGAGAACAGAGAAGGGCTTCCTCCTAGGAGAAGCAAAGCAGCTGCCTAGTTACTATTGCAAGTGATATCTCCGCTGTGTTAAATTACAGGTCATAAATGGAAATGAGATTATTCAAACAGGCAAGTAAACCCTGTCCGTTCTCTAGCTGAGCAGTTCCCCAGCCCTGGCCCAGTGCACTGGCCTCCTCCTACACATTCCAGCTCCTGCTGCTCCATGTTGAAATCCTGCCTTTTGGGCCTGGATTAGTTTGCTTTGCCATCCAGTTCAGGCAGAATCAAAATGTCAGAGCAACTTGACATTCAGAAGTTCCTATTTGATTTTTTTTCCTTTACTTTTTGTTTTACTTCTCAGCAGTGGGGGAACAACAAAGGGAGTTTTTCCACTTGGAAGCTTTCAGCTGTGAGGTGGGGGTTGCTTGGCTTCAGTTGTTAACTTTTAGGCAATGAGTAATTGCAATCATTCTTAGCTTCTTTCCCTTTTTTTTTTTTTTTTTTTTTTTTTGTGGGACTGGGGTTTGAACTCAGGGCTTTGTGCTGGCACTGCAGGCTCTCTACCACTTAAGCCACACCTCCAGTCCTCTTAGCTTCTGTTTTACCCTATTAGAAGCAATTGGATTTTTGGGTTTTTTGTGGATGCTTGTTTTTTGTTTGGTTAGTTTTTGTTTTTGTTTTGTTTTGTTTTTTGGATAAACCCTGAAGAATCCTGGTTTCCCTAGTATTAGGCCTTATAATTTTTATAATTTATCCCAGTACTAAAATATCTTGTTTAATCATTTCAAGAAATTACAAATTGTGGTACAGCTTTCACTTCTTATACAGAAAAATAATTGGTACTAACAAAGAAAACCAAGTAAATATTTATTTAATTTTTTTAAATTGCTAGTTATCCTGTTTAAAAATCATTCCTAATCATAATATTTGGCACCTACCTCTTATTTTCTGGTAAACACTAGCCAGCCCTTACCTACTGGCTTTTAAAAGAGCTATACTTGTTTTCCTAGTAAATTCTACTGCTTATAATTTTTAAATAATTATTTATTAAAAGTCTTGCAGATCTTTTCTTTGAGTTTTTCCTGTCCTTGAAATTAGCTAAGCACCAGTGGCTCATACCTGTAACCCTAGGTACTCAGGAAACAAATTGGGAGGATTGTGATTTGAAGCCAGCGCAGGCAGGGAGTTTTTGAAAACCCCATGTCAGTATCTGGGTGCTGTGATACATGCCTGTCATCCCAAGTACACAGAAGGCTGAGAACTGGAGGATTGTGGTTCCAGGCCAGCCTGGGCAAAAACGTTTACAGGATTCCATCTCAACAGAAAAAAACTGGACATGGTAGTACCTACCTGTCATCTCAGCTACATCAGGAAGCTTTAGATGGGAAGATCATAGTCCAGGCTGGCTTAGAAAAAAAGTAAGACACTCTCTCCAAAATACCAGAGCAAAAAGTTTCAGAGTTATGGTTTAGGTGGTAGAGCACTTGCCTAGCAAGCACAAAGCCCTCGGCATCAGCCCTCAACCCTCCTACCTGCTCTCTGAACCTTACCCTGACTAAATCTTATGCTTTTCCCTCAATAAATTCAAAAACTCCCAGTGTAGGAAAGCTTCTGCCTTCAGGGTTGTTCCCCATAGAGTGTTTTCTTTTCAATTTCATAAGCGTTGGTAAAAATGTCATTGTCTTTGTAAACTTATTTTCTTAAAAATACAGATTTCATGTTGGAAAGGTTCTGGGATGATTTACCTAGCTGCTAAAGCTAAGATGGTGGTCTCTCCTAAACTTTGTGAGACTGATAATGTTTTGTTCTACTTTCCTTTAGATTCCTTTTCTTTTCTTTTTGAATTTTCCCCCTTCAGGTATGTGTATGTGTGTCTTTTCAACAACTCTTAGTTCCAAAATATTAATTGTAAAGCATTATTTTTTCAGAGACTCAAAAGCAAAATGAAAGCATTCTCCTTACCAGGCAGCTTTCCTGGAGTAACTCTGAGCTGGAATGGGTCTAGGAGCCTGTGTTCTCTGTTTGTTCTCATGTGTTATGTTTATAGCATCCCTTTTGGCCACATCTCCCTCCCCATATTCAAATAATTCCTTGGTCTGAGCTTCTGGCTGCTCTTATCTCCTCTTGCTCTTGCATCCTCACCTTGTTGGTGACCTTAAACTGCCACCATGTATTGTTTTAATTTTGAGCACAATGTGAATTCTTTCCAAATGTGACTGTATGCCCTCTTTTGGGGGTAAGAACCCATAGATCACATGCACTTTTTCTGTGAAATGAAACCTCTGGTGCTTCTTTCTCAGCCATCTAATTTACATGTTTCAGTTTTGACCCAAAGCACTTAATACATTAAAGCAGCTTGACTCCTCTGTTGTATGGTCCAAAGTAACACGTGGTGCCATTTTTATAAGACAGCCTAATGTCCCAAGAGATTATTGATAATAAGTCCTGCTGTGTTGAAAGGAAAAAAGAGAGAGAAAATGCAGTCAGGAAAAAAAAAAAAATGAGGGTAAGCTGAACCTAACCAGTGTGCAGAAAGAGGCAGAGACGTTCCATTTGTTTGGGAAGCACCATGTGTACTGCTGTGTGAGAGAAAGTATTGGACTAGTCATATAGTAAAGAAAGGATTATTTCTTCCATGTACCCTGAGTAAAGCTGTGATTCATGTGTTGTAGGAAAAACGGATTGTGTCCCTGGATTCAGCCAACACAAGACTGATGAGTGCACTGACCCAAGTGAAGGAGCGGTACAGCATGCAGGTCCGCAATGGCATCTCCCCCACCAATCCCACCAAGCTTTCCATCACGGAGAATGGTGAATTCAAAAACAGCAGCTGCTGATGGGCTTTGTGAATACAGACTGGAAGGAGACAGAAGGAAATTGATCCACTCTCCTATTCCATTCCTTCACCCAGCCCCTCCAGGTTTACAGAATGTTGCTACTTCAGAATGGCAATGTGGTGAGAAACTCTTACATGAAGAAAGGAACCTTGTCTTTCAGGGCAGAAGGCAAAGACTTCCAAGGTCGATGCTTTCCCCCATGTCTCTATGTACATAAGGAACTTAGTTCTGGGCCATGTACAGAAAATACCATGTAATATACCAAAAGGAAGTTAATAATGTAGATTACCTTTTTAATTATTGCTATTTTTATTATTATTTTCCTGTTGTTGAAAGCACTGCAGTTGTTAGTGGAAGAAATGTAGGAATGTGTGTGAGTGCGAGATGAGCCCATTGGTTCAGTAGGTAGAGACCAAGTGTCTAGCTAATAGAAGCACATGAAGTGCAATAGGACATTGTCAGAATGAATTTTTTCAGGGATTCATCTGCCAGTTTAAAAATCCCACTCTGGTTCCCTTGTCATTTAGGAAAACATCAAACCCCAGGATCCATATAAGACAATAGTTCATGCCACTGATCAACCAAGACCAGTTCTGGTCAGACAGCTAATCAGATTGGAGATTCTGTTTTAGAGGACACAGGTAAAAGCAGTCATGTCAAAACTGGACTTTAGAAGTGATTTCTGTTGAACTCCTGTCAATATATTTATTTCCTCTGTCTACAGCAGATGGGAATTTTCTGTTCTAGATATGGGACTTTTTTGATTTTTACTCCTATTGTAATAAAGGATATTTTCCCTTTCTTCTTTAGAATTGACAAAACTACAGATATTTGTGTCTCAACATACCTCTTCATCTTCACGTTTCCACCCCCACAGTGGGAGCAGTCAGGACCAAGAAAGTTTATTCTCCCCTTAAGAAGTTATTCATGTATGCTGTTCAAAAGCCATCTGAAATAAACACCCTTTCTCCCACACAGAAAAGGGCTAACTGCAACATAGTAGGAGTCTTTGAATATTTCCTACTACTTTTTTTCCCCTATAAGTTATAATTTTTATTTAGGATAAAAATTTTATCCATTGTACTAGCACAGGGTAGTTTTGTCACCATTTTTAACTTTGAATTGCTTCTTCTTCCTCTTACCCCTTAGGAAAATTTAGAAAGAAAATCCAAATCTGAAGCATTCCTCTTAAAAAGTGATGGTTAGTCTTATTTTTAAAATTAAAAAAAAGAAGCTAGAGGGGTAGTTCAACCTATAGAGCACTTGTCTAGCAAGCATTAAGCCCTGAGTTCAAACCCCAGTACCACCAAAATAAATATGGCACATTACAATTGTTATTCCCACACTCTTGTTAGATTTGGCAATAACGACTTACCAGTTTCAATATTTGTCATTCATAGCTTTATTATAGGACAGAAAAAGTCATGGAAAAAGGATTCTTTTTTTTTTTTAAGAGAGGTGTGAAATGTTATCTGGAATGCAAACTTGATTGCCTGAAATATGGAAAGTTACATATATATAAATATATATACATATATTCACCCATATGTACATATAACTGCACAAATAGGAAACATTCATGTCTTCGATGCTGTCAGATAATACAAATACAAATGTTAAAAGGGTCTTGAATATCTTTAAGCAAGATCTAAGCAGTTTTATATTTAGAAAGCAGCAGTGTTTCTCAAATAAGTTAATGCTCACTTTAAATTACAATTTTTTAAAAGGAAAGGAGGAGAGAAAAGGCGACCTAAAGGAGCCATATGCATGGAGTATTTCTACATAACAGAATATTTACAAAGAAGCAGGAGAATGTATATACTGCCTCTTTTTTGTGAAGTCCAGGCATAGACACCAAGCCTTCCTTTTCACTAAATCCCAGGCTTGCATTCCAACTCTTGATCTTTGCCCTCTCCCAGGTGGATCTTTGTGTTGCACCTTGCACTTCACAGAGCCCCCAGCCCACAACCTTTTAAAAGGGTTTTCTTCATAACTGCCAATTTAAGCCAGATAGAAATCAAAAACAGGAGCTTCTCACTGTGCTTAGAAGAACTGCAGGCCTCATGCCCAGCTCTTTTGACATTTGGATATTTTCTTGATCCTTAGCAGTTATTTTATAAATTCTTATCTCTTCCCTACAAACTGAGGGCACATTGTGGTCAAAAACACTTCACAGGAAAAAAGTTCCCGATTCTGAAGTTGTGCCCTGTGTTGGGTGAGGGGGATGTAAAAATAGATTTGTTCTTGTTGGTGGCTTAGTCTTAGCTCTTGCAATGCTTAATTCATTCTTCACAAACCTCTCAATTGTGCCACAGAAAACCTGGTAAGAGAATTGTCAGTTTTCATGGCCTTAAGTGTATAACATGGGAGACGTCTTGCACTGAGATAGGAAAGTTCTTCAAGTTCTGATTATAGATTACAGGGGGATTGATAAAATTATACTAGAAGTATAGAGGCAACAAAAAAATCAAGTATGTTTTTGATGAATGCAGTCTATCTTGTTAGCATTGAGGGACCTCCTTAAAGGGCAGTCTGCACTGGAAGATTAAATGCCCAAAATATTTGACAGATTTGTGAGTCCCTTTTCCGCCAGGTTATCTTGAATGAAGAGAAAAAAGTAATAGTAATAATAACTAGATGAAAGTTCAGAGTTGTTGCCAGATGTTAAATTTTAAATTATCATTTAGTCTATCCTAACCAAATATTTTTCTGAGTATTTCTTTAGAGATGTGACAATCTGTAGAATTTAACCAAATATTTTTCTGAGTATTTCTTTAGAGAAAGCAGCAATCTGTAGAATTTATTCTGATTTTGTTTTAGTATGGAAGAAGACAGCAACAAGTAATAATTGTATGAGAGGGTGTTGCTTAATTGGCTTTTCTTCTGCCCAAATAAGTACACACTTTTGTTTTGCTGGGAGGCAGTACATGTTTGAAGAGAAGCTGATGGGTTAGGATAGCCATGTCTTGCACTCTCTGCCTCCCTCAATGTATCACCACATTGTGAGGTGAGTATAGATGAGGATTGAATGGAATTTGGAGTTCGAGTGAAGTGGTTATCTAAGTGACCACCAGACTCGGCCGTTCACAAGGACAATGTTAGAATTCAGGGAAAGAGCTTCATTTCCTTCTTACATTGTTGAAGCAATAAGCTTTCCAGGCCAAAAGAGCAAACAAAAAAAAGTTACATTTCCATTAGGCCATGATTTCTTGAGTCTCTGTGGTAAAAGCCCTGACAGAGGGGAGATTATCCTAGGTAACTGTAATGAGCATTCCTCTTCCAGGCACTGTCACCCAGGTATTGTTTGAGTCTAGGGCAGTCTTTTGCTAAGGACAATATGGCAAAATGAGGTAGTCATGCTGCTAAAGCTATTTTGCTTTTTTCACTTAATATCAAGTTGGTTAGAATTAGCTTTCTGACTGGTCTGTTTCTACCTTTCTCTGTATGAGGTTATACAATAAAGAAAAAGTCAGATTTTCTGTCAAAGATGGCTATAAGCATTAACTGTATGCCCTTGAGCCTGTGCTTAACTTAAGAAGTAAAGCCTTTCAGATCTTACTCTACCCTCAGCCTTTGTTTATAGATAAGTGGTTCTGTACATCCTTGACTTTCACAGTATCCTTAGAATCACACCAGATTGGGAGCAGAGTTCTTGTTTGGAAGTCCCAGGGAAAGGCAATTGTCATCAAGTGAGTTTGCTTTAGTATTTGTTTTGTTTCCATCCAGCTTTAGTTCTAGTTATCTCCAGTCTGGAGTTCCTGAGAAGACTGGCTAGGGGACTGAGCTGGGGGAACCAACCCTCTTCAGGATTACCTCAGTCTCTTCAGTAGGCTCCATTGTGACTGAGTCCCAGGCTTGACACTAGACTAGACTTGTCACCAGGTCAGACTGAGTAGCTTCTGAGCCCATCCAACGTCCTCACTGTATTTTCAGCTATACTTTTGGAGGCCATTTGCTTCTACAGATGGTGGAAATCCAAAAGAACTTTCTTCTCCATGCCCCTTCCCTTTTTCAAGTCTAGTATTAAAATCCCCTACCTGCCCCAGCAATAAATAGTTACCTTCCCACCCCTTACCTGAGATACCTTAGGTTTTACCAATATATCAATGGAAAGGACTTACACTAGTTTCTTAAAAGCAAGGAATGTTGAAGTGTTGGGTTTTAAATATAATCTATTTTCATGTTTGAATGATTATTATCAGTTCTACAAGTATTTTCTTGTTACAACCCTGCTATGAATGCTCTTGAGTTTTGAAAGAACAAAGTGCTGAAATTTTCAGGAGACAGAATAAATATGAGGAAGACACATGGTCCAGAAGGGGGCTAATACATACCTGTCTTCACAGTAGCTCAGAAATTCAATGAAACAGAAGGATTTATTTATATTTACATATAAATTTATATGTAGCTAACATGTGCACAGCCACAAAAAAACACATTTCCTAAGGCTTCCTTTTTCTGAATGTTAATCCATTTTACAGAGCAGTGATTCTCAAACTTTCTTGAGATTTTGAGATTTGATGTTCTCATTTTATTAGATTTTATGACTTTCTATCCTCTTAAAATGTACTATATGTGTTATATGTATATATAAGTTAATGTGACTTGAACTTGATTTTGTTTTCATAGTCTCAAGAACCCTAGATATCATTACTGATACCATGAGGAGTCATAAGTAAAATGTGAACATCATTAACTTGAGAGTAGATGCAGAAAGAAGTAGCTTTGGTTCCTAATCAGTCAATCCTCAGGTGTTTGAGTAACCATCCCAACTAGACTTAACAAATGCAGTCAGCTGCCTAAGGAAAGGAAAGAGGGAGTTTTGGCCCATATTTCAGAATGCATTTTAATCTCCTACTCAGTTGTTATTTTTCGTTCAAGTATCCTCATTATATCCTAGGATAAATTTTTTTTAGTTTTAGACTTAAAAACAGATTTATCTGTTGGTGCAGTGGGATTTCCACAGAACTATGTTTTGGGGGCCTCTGTCATCTGTGTGGGGTGCAAATATTTATGTATAAATGTCATATGTACATCACTTCCAAACTCTCAAGGGAAAAGTTTCAATTCCCAGTTCACCAAAAGGTTAAATGCTAATTAGTTCAAAGGCCACTATCCTCAGAAGAGCTAAAATAAATAATAAAAGTTGAATTTTGACTGGTGCTTAGACATTTCTTAGCTATATTAAAATCAACTCAAGTGACAGCAGCACATTTACCAGGCTCACACCTGTGAGGACTTTACCTCCTAAATTTGATTTTGTTTTTCATTCCCAGGGCCTTAATAAGACTGTATTAACACACATGGCTATTTTACAATGATAGCACTAAATAATTTATTTTTTATTTCAAGAAAGAGAAATACACCTTAGAAAAACAAAACCCAAGATTTTATTTTATTTTTAAAGCCATATTTTTGTGCTAAGTAGCACTTAGATTGTTCCATATGTGAGATCCATATCTGCATTTCATTACCTGGGTTTGTTCTAAAGAAAATTTATTTTTGTTCTGTGAATAATTTTTGATGGTTCTTGTACATGTACAGATATAGATACATTTGAGGTCTTTTACTGATATTCCTACAAAGACTACAAATAAACTTTAACTTTAAACATTTCAGACTGAAGTTGCTTTGAAGTTACTGAAGTAATTTGACATTACTGTCTTTTAGTATGCATCTGGGTGCGTAGGACACTCGAAGAAAAACAAGGAAAATGTATGCAGGAACATTATTCTGAAGCTATATTTTAACATTAGGAAAAATGTGCCTTAGAATTTCCCAACTTAAAGGTAAAAAAGACTCAGGACAAATAACTAGCATTAACATGTGTTGTATTGTGTTAGCACCCTTAGAGAGTGCCTTACTCTGCAGAATTTAAAATTTTTTGACAGCTTGCAACCAGTAAACAAAGTTTCCTTCAGTTTATTTGGAATTGTTACCCTACTTACCTTCTTCATCAACTACTATCCTCTCTTACATTCTCCAGACAGATTAATGGGCTTTGTTTTCAGGATTTTTCTTGGTTGGTTCAGGGGGGTTTTTTGCCCTTGTTTGTCATTCCCAAAGTTATCATCCCCAAATACCGTCATCTTCTGCAGCTTACCATTTCATTCTATAAAATCCAAGGTTGCAGGTTTTATATGTAATTTTCTTTTGTGCTAGTTTCAGATCTATACCTCTTAGCATATTTCAAGTTGCTTATAAAATCCCATTCTTCCAGAAATTAAAAGGCTGAAAATCCAGAGTAGATTATTTAAAAAGGAAACTAAAAATCAGTGGACGTATGCTACTTTTTGTTCACTTCGAAGCCAACGCATTTCAATCTGAATTCCTCATGACCTAGTGTAACTTTTAAGACTTCTTGGATCTGAAACATAAAAAAGAGAGAAATGAGATTGGGAGTATAGCTCAGTGGTTGAAGTACAAAACC